AAGAACACGTCAAACAAACTAGAGATGTTCAGTCCATTGTTCAAGTACACACGGAAGAGGCACTGTGGTCATGGCCTTATGTTGAGAGTTGAAAAGCAGTGTATGTGAGCACTGCCCTCCCAAGGACTCTACCCTGAGGGAGCACTGATGTAAGAGATCACTCCTAGATAATCGGTTAACACTTCTTAGATTAGGTACAGCTAAGAGACAAAGCCCTGCAGATGACATGGTGACACCCTGTGATGCCAAGGAAAGAAAATGTATCTTCTTTCCACTGTGCACAGGCCAGAACTCTACCCTAAAATATCCCATTTTGTCTGGAAAAACTAAAATCTCACTTTATCCACCCCCCTTAATTTCAATATATTCACAAGAAATCTTACTCTTTAATGACTGTGAGTCTAAAGCATTAGAAGTTAGTTATACTTCCCACCTTCTCCCTACATGGAATACACTTATTTTGGACTTATTTCAGGCATTCTTGTAGAAAAGCTTAACTAAATAGAAAGAAAACTGCTGGGAAAACTGTTTTGAAAACAATTATGTGCTTTGGGACTGGCGGTTACAAGAGTGGATGCATTTCAAGCATGTGTACCTCTCTCCTCACCCACCAGTGCTGAAGTCAGGTGGATGGCAGCAAAACCATTCATCTGAGCTGCCAGTCCACAGCCCTTGGACGAGTGTGCCACCCAGACCTGTAGGTGACCCAGTGTGCACCACCAAGGACTGAAATGTGTGTGAATGCTTGGGCCCAAGCTGCCAGTCTCCTAGGCATAAATGGGAAAAGCTTTGTAAACGCAGTCAGATGAGATGGGTGGTGCTGATGCTGCCACTGTTGATGCTGTGTTTAAGCTGTGCTGACACCAGAAGTGAGCCTCTTTGGCCTTCTAACACGGACTAAAGACAGGTGGCTCTCGGGAATCCTCCAGGCCTTCAGAACCACATTGGAACTTCTGAGACATCCAGCCTCATGAAGTATGCATCTACCAGGTTCTCAGCCTCTCCAGCGTGAAGGCAGCCATGGTTGGACTACCCGGACTGTACCAGGCAAGCCCATCCAATAAATCCCCTATATATGTGCACTATATATGACAGAATTCTATGAGTTCTGTTTCTCTAGAGAACCCTGCGTAATATAGCCATCATGGCAGGAATCTGCTTTACCAAAACCTCTAGCTGGATTCGGGCTTGCCAGAAGTGCAGGCTTGTCCTGCGGATAGAACTTCCAGTCTCTTTACCTGGGCCCTAGCAGGGCAACTTTGAAGGTAGGGGTGGGGGTGGGGGAGCTTCTCATTCCCTTCCCTGCTCAAGGAACCGCAGCAGGAGTCTATGCTGCTTACGTTTTGGGAGTACGTCACTCTTCTGTGGCTCCACACTTTTCAGGTATTCCAGTACCCCCTTTTGATTTCTGACCCTCCACTTTCTCTCTTTGGAAGAGTGTATCCTGTTTTCCTGGCTCTTCTTGTTCACCACATCAGAGGTAGATTCTAATCCACATCTTATCCAAGAAATTATGTATTTTTCAATCTAAGTCTCACATATGAAAGGATGCTATTTGTCTTCCTTGAGTCGAATTTATTTCCATCGTCCTGAAAACAGCACTGTTTCATTCTTAACCCATTCACCTGGTCAGTCTAGGCTGATTCCATATCTTGGCTATTGAAAATGGCATTGCAGCAAACACTGGCATACAAGTGCCTGGACCCATGATAACCATGCCACAATTCAGAGAAGATGCAAGATGGCACCTTGAGATCCTCTCTCCAAGCCCATCATTTTACAGCAAAGGAGAGGGCCCAAACCAGGCATCCTGAACAGTAAGACTGAACTCACAGGGACTTAATCGAAGCACCAAGACCAGACCCCAAGAGCCCCAGTAACCAATTCAATGTTCTATCCATCACACACACACACACACACACACACACACACACACACACACACACACACACGCATGCACACGCACGGACGCGCACACATGCACATGCATGTACACACACGCACATACACACGCACATGCACGCACACACATGTGCACACACACATACATGCACACGCATGCACGCACACACACACACGGGCGTGCGCACACACATGGACAGGCACACACACACACATGCACACACAGCGCTGGCGGGGGCAGGAAGCAGGGACAGGAGCAAGCATACAGCCTTCACAACCATTTTTGCTGTCAAGCTTCTTTGCACCTTTGGCGCATTCACTTCTGTGCCTCGGGGCTCCTCATACTTATGTTAAACATAGCAAATCATGTCATTTGTTTGAACAGGCAGCCTGCATTTTATGCTCAGAACCAAAGGCACACAAGTGGAGAAGAACCCTGTGTTCTGGGCCTTCAGGGAGAATGTTAGTGGGCACAACTGTGGAACTGACACATTGCAAGCGAAGAGATTGCAGGTGCAGGCAGCATGAGCTCAAAGTCAAATTGCTATATACTGATGAGAATCTGGAAGTACTCATGCCCTTTCCCTTACACAAACTAAATTGGACACCTTATTTTTTGTTCTAGAAACATCCTAACAGAAGTTCCATTACTGTAAGCACACATGGAAGAGCAGTCTGCACATTATGAAAATAGGTCATGCCAACTTTTTTGTTTTGTTTTGTTTTCAAGACAGGGTTTCTCTGTGTAGTCCTGGCTTTCCTGAAACTCACTCTGTAGACCAGACTGGCCTTGAACTCAGAGATCCACCTGCCTCTGCTTCACAAGTGCTGGGATTAAAGGCATGAGCCACCACCATGGGCAATGCTAAACTTTTTTTTGAAAAAAAAAGTTTATTCTTGACACAGATCTTGATCATATTCACACACACACACACACACACACACACACACACACACACACTGTCATATATATTAATTATATTATATATAATAGACTATGTCATAGCAGATGCTCTGTCCTCTGACTTACAGCTTCCACTCCCTCTTCCCTGAGCCTAAAGTATGGGGGTTGTGTTGTAAATGTATTCATTAGGAGCAATCAAGCCGTGGTAAGTTGATCTCTGCATTTGACTAGTTGTAGATTTCTGTTGTCTGCAAAAAGACATTTCTTTGATGTATGAGAGCTACACTTATCCAAGGATATAAAGATAAGTGTTTAGAACACAGTGAGATCATACTACAGGAGTGGGCTCTCCTCTAGGTTCCATGGTCTCACTAGCCATAGGTAGTTGGCTAATTTTACAGTACCAGGCAGGAAACATCTCCTATCGAGTAGGCCGTAAGTTCAGTTAGGTGACTGCTGGTTACCCCCAGGAGGTTAAGTGCCACTATTGCACCTTTTGGAATGTCTTGCCATGCTGGTCATTAATGTGGTCCATTGGCATTACAGAATAGGGCTATTGACTGTTTTCCATTGGCAGCTTGTTGTCTAGAGAAAGTGGTACCAAGCAAGCTCCTATTCCCAATGATCAGAGTAAAGGAAAATATCAGAATCTTATGTAAAATATGTGATAAAAAGTTTTGTTGTTGTTGTTGGTGGTGGTGGTGGTGGTGTGTGTGTATGTGTGTGTTGGCCAGATATGGTTCATGCTTTTATCTCAGCACACCAGAGGCAGAGACAGGCAGATCTGTGAGTTCAAGGCTAGCCTGGTCTACAGTGATTTACAGGCTAGCCAGAACTACATAGAGAGACCCTTTCTCAAAAAAAGAAAACATTTGTTTTACCCCAGAGTCAAGACAGTATTGTGTTTGGTTCCTGTTTTCAGATGTTATGAGAACTTTAAAATTCACATATCAAACATTGTGTAATACTATGATTTATATTTAAAAGTGTTTGTTCTTCACCCTTGGCTTTGTTTCTTGGATCTCAAAATGCCTGTGATCTCTAGCAATGAGTATCTTATTCCTAAACTTCGGAACATGAGTATGCAGACTGTCTTTTTTGATAAACAATTGTCAAACTGTGGGGAGTGTCTTGTAGATGATATGACTGAAGGCTAGTGGCCCTAACTAGCTGTAAGATAGGGGCTGAATACCAAAAACCAAGGCAAGATTAGTGCTGAGAGTTGAACCCCACCCCCTAATCTTCCAGGAAAGGAAAAAGGCAGAAGGGTGAAGTAGTCACCAATGACCAATGGGGGAATTAGAGTCAAGCCTATTAACGAAGTCTCCAAAAAGCAGTTTAAATGTGCTTTGAGACAGGTGAACCTGGGGAAGTGCCTGGAGGAAAATGCATGGGGGGGGGTCTCCCCTGAAACACCTCACCCTGTTATCTCCACCTGGATATTCATCTGTACCCCTTATAATGGGTAAATGCAAGTGTTTTTCTGAGTTCCGTGAGTCACTCTAGCACATGAATCACCCCTAAGGAGGCAATGAAATTGGGAACACCAATATATTACTTACTTTTCTCACCAATGTTATCAAATACCCAACAAGAAGCAACTGAAGAGAGGTTTGATCACGGTTGAAGGGATGGTCCATCACACAGTGAGGAAACAGAATAGGCAGGCAGCTGCATGGTGACAGAAGCTCACCTCTCTCTCCACTGAGCAGGAGGCAGAGGAGGGAATGCCTGACGGCTCAGCTGGCTTTCTCCTCTCCCTCCTCTTACAGAGTCTGGGTACCACCCACATTCAAGGCAGCTCTCACCTCCTCAGTTAATCTTTTCTGAAAATGTCCTCACAGAAAGGTACTGTGCAGTACTAACTCTCTTGTAGAACTAAGCCTTCAACCTGTGAGTCTGCCCCACTCCAGAGAGTCAGAGTCAGTTATACAACACCCAACTGCTTACCCTGGAGAATCTGGTGCCAAAAAGTGGAGAGAGATTTAGGAGCAGGATAAACATTTCTTTCCTATATCCCTAATACTGTTTACTATACATTATATAATTAAATCTGTTAATACAGAATTTATATGACTTCTGGGTTTTAAGAATAGAATTTCAACTGCCTATTAGTAATCCTCTTACAGAAAGCAATAGAAATGACAGCATGATAGGATTACTAACGTTCCAACACATATGCATCATACAACTCTTGATAGTTGACAGATTTTATTAATAATCAAAAACACTTTGCACTTACAATAGGAAAATAAATGCTTCTTTGACCAATAATTAAATGCAAACTACCCAGGACCTTACAGGTTCTACAGCAGGTACCAGATATGATGTTCAGAAGACGAATGTTAGCTCGCTGGGATCAGCAGGATAGCTAGTGCTTTGCTGTAATTTATTTAAAAATATACCTAACAGCTTTCCTAATAGTAGATTAACTGTAATTACAACAGGCCAGTGTTTATAATTTAGTTTTAGATATGACTCACACACAACACACATCAGTCCTGATTATATGGCTTAGATACTTTTTATAAAGGTGTTTAACAGAAATTCAGATCTCACTTTAGACCAAGAAATTGAGATGCCATAAGGCAATTTCTAAACTCCAAAGTTTAACACACAATAGTTCAAGCAGCAGATACTACCTCAGAGAAAATACTTACTTTGCTTGTTTCTCTCTGGTGCTAATCATGTTAATGTTTGTCGAGTCCAACCATGACTGGAGCACACACTGTTGATTTAGTCTCACACACACAGACACACACATATTCTCTCCCTCTCTCTCTCTCTCTCTCTCTCTCTCTCTCTCTCTCTCCCCTTTCTTCCCAGATGAACAATATGCATTTCACTTATTTTGTTTTGTTTCTTGGTGTTTTTCTTTTTCCAAGACAGGGTTTCTCTGGGCAGCCTTGCCCGACGTGGTATTTGCTCTACCTCTCAAGTGCTGGGATTGAAGACAAGTGCCGCCACCACCTGGCACATTTCACATATTCCTTTCAGAAGAAATGTCAATTTACTTGTCTCTACTTTTAAAAAGACAGAGCTAAATCATCTAAGCCTCATTTTCCACTGGATGATTTAAGTCAGTCTTTAGTTTGTAAATTCTCTTGGTCTCTTAAAATCTATGCATTGGGGAGAAGACTTTAACTTAACAGACACAGTGTGATTCCTCATTCTCGACAACAGAAAACCACAGCAAAAATAGAGCCTCGTAGAAATTTCAACATTGAATTTTTTTAAAATCTGAAAGACTTAGTAGGAGTCAAAGTTGTATAAAGTCAGTAGTCCCTGCAATCTGGTACTTCAAGACAAACTGACCTAACAGACTTGTACTGGAGTCATTCCATCAAAGTCCCACTTTCCTAAGGTTTAAGAGTTCACTGCCTTGTAAAGGAAGGTGAGTGGTAACCACGTGACTCCCGTGTGCTCAGCCTTGTCACTGTCCTAGCCTTCTAAGTCCTGCCTTGCACAAGAATAAACAAAGAGCCATCAGGACAGAGCAGCCTTGACATTCAAAACACCTGACCAGCTTCTACAGCAAATTCTTAAAAAGTGCTTTGAATTTAAGTATTTTTTTAACTTCAGTCTTCAATATTGAAACTGCTAAGTTACTCCATTTTTCCCATTTAAAAAAAAAAAGGGGGGGGAATATACTCAAAGGGAGAATTAAAAAATAAACTTGGGACAAATTACTGAATAGACTTAAGAAAAACTCAATAAAAAAAAAAAATCCAGCTAGGCAGTGGTGGCGCACGCCTTTAATCCCAGCACTCGGGAGACAGAGCCAGGCAGATCTCTGTGAGTTTGAGGCCGGTCTGGTCTACAGAGCAAGATCCAGGACAGGCACCAAAACTATGCAGAGAAACCCTGTCTCAAAACAAAACAAACAAACAAAAAAATCCGGGGCTGGAGAGATTGGCTAAGTGCTTACTGCTCTTGCAAAGGATCCTGGTTCGAGTCCAAGTACCCGCATAAGGTGGCTCAAGGCCACCTCTAACTACTCCAGCTCTAAGAGATCCAAAAATCTCTTCCAGCCTCCATGGGCATCTGCACTCATATGAACAGACATATACAGACACACATAATTAAAAATAAAATAAATCTTAAAAAAAATACTCCAATAAGTAAAAGTTGCATGCAGGGGTTGTTGACCAGTCTTTTTATTATAAACACAAATGGACTGTTCAGGATAGAACTCTAAACGGCGTGCGTGTCCAACTGATAAAACATGACATGGTCACTGAGACTGGAAGGTGGCGAGAGGAAACGTGAGAAGACAAACTGTGAAATTCATCAAGGGCCCTGTGGCATTTCCAGTGTACAACTCCATGTGCACAGGAACAGTCAGAAACACTGTGCCACCTTGTCATGGAAAGGCCGTCCCTTTATTGAATAATATAAAGCCCCTCTGGTAAATATAAATTCTTGAAACACACAGAAAAAAATGAAAATAAATGTCTCTGAAAACTAAAGTTCTCAGGGAGACACCTACCGACCTCACTCAGAAATCTATTCGCCTCTACTGAGAAAGGTGCCATCTGGCCCAGGGTATAGTTTTGAGATATATAATTAAGGGGACTGAATGGTTTCCCAGAATCCCCTGTGGCCTAGTCCCCGTGGTTGACATCATCAAGCAGGCCCTAAATTGTCCATCTTGAGCACTTTCACACAATACACAGTTGGTTTTTAAAGACACTATTGAATGTTTTTGCATCTCTGCCTGTAGAGAACCCCAGAGGCACAATCACACTCCTCTCATAATAAACAGTTCTCAGTCAGGAACCAAGCTAGGAGGTCTGATGATTTGTTTTCAGTACTGAGGTAGAGTCTGGGGCCTTCCCAGCACAGACAAGGCTCTACCACTGACCTATACCCTTAGCCTCCAATTACAGATTTCAAATGAATGGGAAATTAATAATTATAAGGACCACCACGTGACATCCTCTGAACAGAGGACTACTTACCAAAAGAGCGATTTTGAATAGAAAAGGGAACTATTCATTTCTCTGTTTTATTAACAACTCAGGAAAAAACAAAACAAAACAAAAAAAAACTCCATTTTTTTTCTAACTGCAGTAGAACAGGATTCCAGACTCTCTCACAGGCCCCCAAAACAGAGAAGGAATATTTCTGATGGTCTTATAATGACAGTTACAGCATCCTAGCAACAAGGCTTTAATGAAAATGTCAATCAAGAGTAATTCACACAGAGTATACACTGTTCTCAAACAGTTGCCTAATAATAAATTTAATTAAAAGTAAGAAATTATGTTCATCAAATATGTGGATGCACATCAATAAGTGTTACAATAAAGCAGTCATAGTTACTGCAGTACTCTATACTACTACAAAAATAGCCATCGAGGCCTAACATACTCAATATGATGATAAGGCTTTACTTCTTGCAAGCTGTGTATCTTTCAGTGACATTCTCCCAGTTGATCACATTCCAAATAGCTTTCAGATAATCAGGTCTGACGTTTTTATACTGAAGGTAATAAGCATGTTCCCACACGTCAATCCCCAGCAGTGGAATAAGGCCTATCAAGAAGAGGGAAAAATATTACTCTTTAAAACAGCATCATCCACTTGTTTCTTACGTAATAAAAATTTGTGTAAGAATGACTATTCCCACAAAAACATTTAAAATTTTTATTTTAGAAGAAAACGTAATAAATAAATGTGTAACAGCCCCTGGAAAGTCAGACTACAGAATCCAATACCTGCTCTTAAGATAGCAACAGATTGCCAGGCGGCAATGGCGCACGCCTTTAATCCCAGCACTCTGTGAGTTCAAGGCCAGCCTGGTCTACAGAGCGAGATCCAGGACAGGCACCAAAACTACACGGAGAAACCCTGTCTCGAAAAACCAAACAAACAAAAACAAAGATAGCAACAGGTCATCTACTGTTGAGGCCCAGTCTTCCTCACAATGTCAGTCAGGAGACCCAGTGAGGTTTGCTGCTAAGGCTTCCCTTCCAAGTTCTGAGCACCAGGGGGTTGGAGGGGAGAAGGCTGAGAAACATGTTCTCCTCTCCAAGGGTAATTTTAGTTTTCTGGATGAGTCACTAAAAAGGTTAACAGGAAGCTAAACAGAGCTAAACAAGACCAAAGAAAAATGATCACTACCTTCAGAAATTAAATGGTATAAATGAAGAACATATATACAGAAGAGTGTGTGTGTGTGTGTTTTAATCCTCAAGCCAGATAAGGTGGCACAGGTCTGTGTTCCCACACATGGGAGACTGAGGCAAGAGGGTGTCAAGTAGGCCAGAACAGCTTGAGCAGTGAAGCAAGACTCTGTTCCAAGGCTTCCTATGAAACCGTCCAGAATGAGGAACACAACTCGTTCCTAAGAGAGTAGCAACACTTTAAATGACTTTTCATTCTAACACACTTGCAGTGTGGAGAGAAAGGACTATAGAAACCACAACCTCTCGGTGAGGGGCCCTGAGAAGCAGACCTGACTCTGAAGAATTCACTGTTCGTAAGTTTTTCATGGCTTTATCAGATTCTACAGCATCTTACTTCCCCTAAAACAAACCATTTATGTTCCTGGAAATCTGAGTATATGCAGAGAAGTGAGTGACATGGACAGATGGGAAGAGGAGCAAAGAGCCACTGTCGGAGACACCACATCAGAGACGAGCCACAGCCCACCCCTGCACGGCCCACAGCTGCACGGCCCACCCCTGCATGGCCCACTGCTGCACACCATGACACTCTGCCTCCTTCACTCCTCAGTGACATTTTATAAAGGACATCCATTAGGCCAGGGGAGAAGGAAGGGCTATTGAGCTGGGAGGTGTGCAGGACCTGAGTTCCGGTTCCAGTTTAAGCATGATACTCACCAGAGGAGAGCACATGTTCTCAGGTCAGGCTCAGTCTCTATTTCTTTCTTCCCTCTTTCTGCTCATCTAATCTTAGAGTTTTACTGTAGTGTATATTATAATTAAAACTGACCCTAATTTTCTACAGGTTGAAGCAGGACTTCTGATTAAAACATTCTTATTAAGAAGCTGACAAAGGCCGGGCGGTGGTGGCGCACGCCTTTAATCCCAGCACTCGGGAGGCAGAGGCAGGCGGATCTCTGTGAGTTCGAGGCCAGCCTGGTCTCCAAAGCAAGTACCAGGAAAGGCGCAAAGCTACACAGAGAAACCCTGTCTCGAAAAACAAACAAACAAACAAACAAAAAAAAAAAAAAAGAAGCTGACAAAAATTACATCTGCTTATTTTATAAAATACCAGTTTTTATTATGAAGACTCTGGTATAATCTACTAACACTTGCTGAAATTATTACATATTCCTAAGTTTAAACTCTGCTAATTTACCTTATTTCTAGTTTAATGCTTTCTAGAAAACCATATTTCTAAAATGAAATGATAGTTTTACAGCTTACCTGTGGTTCCTTCCAATGGGTCCTGGTTAGAGCAGGCAGCAATCTGTAGGCGACCCTGCTCCTTATTGAAGCCAAGCCAGCCCCAGCCTGAACCTTGAACTCCAACAGACACAGCTGTCAGCTTCTCCTTGAACTTCTCAAAAGACCCAAAGTCACGTTTGATGGCCTCCAGCAACTCTCCTGAAGGGGAAAAAAAAAAACAAAAAAAAACAGAAAAAGATTTCAAAGACTATAACAAAATGTTAATGTTCATAACACTAAAATATTCTTGTCAAAGGACCAGCTGGACAACACCAGTCAGAAGATACAGACAACCAGGGAGTCTATGTAACCCAGCGTTCCTACTCCCAGTGCCAGACAGAGTTTCCATTTGAATCATTTTTAATGAAGGCTGATTAGTGCAGCCAGTTTTTTTTTTTTTTGGTTTTTCGAGATAGGGTTTCTCTGTGTAGCTTTGCACCTTTTCCTGGAACTCACTTGGTAACCCAGGCTGGCCTCGAACTCACAGAGATCCACCTGGCTCTGCCTCCCGAGTGCTGGGATTAAAGGCGTGCGCCACCATCGCCCGGCTAGTGCAGCTAGTTTAACCAGGAAAGAAAGAACGTTCTCCATTGGCTTGCTTTCTTTCGGTTTTTCCCATTTGATAGTCTTGACTTTGATGTCTCTCATCCTATGTCCCCACTTAGAAATTGAAGTTACTGCTGTAGTCACTGTTCTCCAAGCCTAGACCTTCCATCTTTATCATACTGTTTTTTAAAAGAATTCTTCTCTCTTTTGCTCTTGAGCTAATGGTGCACTTAAGAGGGCTGGAGCATAGCTCCGTGAACAGACCTGACTGGCATTCGTGAAGCCCTGGATTTGACCCACAAAGTAAGGGAAAGAGAGAAGGAGAGGAGGCAGTGAGGGGGGAAAATACATACATACACACACACACACACACACACACACACACACACACACACACACACGCACACGCACGCACATACATGATAACCTGCCCTCAAACTTCTGATTCCCCTGCCTCCACCTCACAGTGCTAAGACTGCAGGCATGGACTACCCCATCCCCAGCTCAATCTTTTATTCTGTAGCAATATAGAATTAATTCTGCATTAAGCATATTGAACTGAATCAAATGGGTCCAACATCTCATTTCTCTCACTCTGTTGACCAAAAATAATTATCTTTTACAAACACAGCTAATGCATCAAGTGGTACAAACTGTGCAACAGAAACATCCACACCACTGACTGACCTCAGCACACTTTGTATCTGGTCACAGCCAAAACCCCGCAAGCACCAAGTCATGGTGTGGAGCGCTTAGGAATGAGGAGGTGAGCTTATGCGTGAATGAGTAACACCGGGTGCCTTTTTTTTTTTTTTTTTTTTTTTTTTTTAGCAATGGTTAAAAAAAAAAACTTGAACAACGGGAGTCTGGGAATGTACCTCAGTAGCAGAAGGTTGACCTAGCATGTGGAAAACCAGGGTTCAATGCCCAGCACCACCACCACAGAGTTGGGGGTCAGGGAGAACCAACAAAACCAGACACTTAGGGCATATGCAAGAGGGAGAAGAAATCAGGAGGTCTATGCGACAGCCCACACCTTCCCTAATGAGAAGGTAACTGAAATCACCTGAGCCTCCACAAGGCACACAGGGCGTCAGAAGAACGGCGCCAGTCATATGGATAGGGTGGTATAATTATCTAAAGTCCTACAGAAAATATGTAACGTACAGAGTGGCTAAGGAGTATCGGGTTTGTTTTTGTTTAAAGACAAGTAGACGGTGCACACCCTTCATTGCCCAAGTGTTTCTTCTTGTTGTTTTTGCTTTTATTTTCATGGAAAACTTGCTTTTCTGGGACAAATGACTTTTTATATTAGGAATAATAAACAAAGGCACTATTCCAAGCACTTTCCATACAATTCTGAAAGAAGCCCCGTAATTACCCCTGTATCACAGAGGTACATCAAGTACAGTACAAAAGGCTAGGTGTCTTACTCCGGGGGTCCAGGGCTAGAAGTGGAAAGTTCATCTTTCTAGTATTAGTTTTGTCCAGGCTTTTCCTAACACTTATCCTAGGAGAGGGCAGTGCATGTGATGTGATATGTGTGTGTGTGTGTGTGTGTGTGTGTGTGTGTGTGTGTGTGTGTGTGAGACAGAGAGACAGAGAGAGAAACTAGGTGACAGAATTCCCTGGACACATTCTCTACTCCTCCTCCCTTTGAAACTTAACAACTTAGCATGCCCTAACTATAAAAAATAAGCCAATATGATAACTCAGGGAGAATCTAGGTAACAAAAAAATGGACGGTCCTCTGGGGGCAAAGATCAGAGGGCACATACTTGGCATACAGAAGATACTGGGTTCAATCCCCAGAATAAAAAGAGAGGCAGACAGACAGGGGTGAGGGGGTGGGGAGACAGGGGGGCACTAGACGGCTCAGAGAGCAACAGCACTTGCTCTACAAGCCTAGTAAGGTAGAAAGAGAAAACCAGCTCCACAATGCTGTCCTGAGACACCTCCACTCATATCATGCACAGATATACACACAATAAGAATAAACTAATAAAATAATAATAAAAATATACTTTTAGCCAGGTATGGTGGCACACACACACACTTTAATCCCAGGAGGTAGATCTCTGTGAGTTTGAGGCCAACCTCGTCCTAACCTACATAGAGGGTTCCAGCCGTAGGCACACAGAGGCAATACCTCAAGACAATAGATAAATAATTTCTAAAGACTATATAAAGTGCCAGGCCAGACAGCTACACAGAAAAACCCTGCTTTTAAAGAAAAAAAATTAAGGGGGAAAAAACAAACCCAACGATCATTTCTACTGTACACCAAATACACAGCTGTACCAGCACATACCAACCTTTGGGTTCTCCACCTCCTTTAGGGCTCAGGTTTGTCCAGAAAATGCTATGATTAATATGTCCCCCACCATTGAACTTCAGTGCAGGCTGAAGGGCAACCTGAGTCGTCACATCTCCTGAAATAGAAAACACAAACACCTATTAAAAATTCTTCTTCTCCAGGCAGAGCTCTGAGTTCAAGGCCAGCCTGGTCCACAGGGCAAATTCCAGGACTGCCAGGGATACACAGAGAAACCCTGCCTCAAAAAGTTAATGAAAAAGAAAAACGAAAAAAAGTCTTCCTCTCTAAGCCTGCAATGGAGTACTACAATCAGGCATTACAATAAAACAGCTCTTTTTCAGCAGTACTCACTAAACAAATAAAGCTCTGACTACACACACACACACACACACACACACACACACACACACACACGCTCACAAAAAAAGGATTAAAATTAAGATGTTTTTACAACACTCAGGAAAGTTTCCCAGGTGTCAGATGTCACCTTGAAGGAAGTGCTTTCTCAACTGGGATATTCCCGCCTCACCATTACCTCATCCTTCCCGAAGCTGTTATTTCCTAAATCAGAGTCTTTTCCCGTATTCAAGGTTCATGTGATTTGCTTATTGCAAGTAAATCTTCCAGAATGTGGTAATCTCCTCTTCTTGGTTTGGCCATTTACCTCAAGCACAGTCATGCTGAAATACCACACTTCTCCACTAGATGCCCCTGTCAACCAGCTGTCACTGACATGTTAGACAACCAATTTCTCAGATCTGAGGTTCAATAAAAGTACATTTAAGAAAAGGTAAATTTTATCATGTAGTTTTTCAAGCAATACAGCTAACCCAGAGGCATGATTACCAATTATTTTCCTTGTAAAAACTACTAATAGAGTAAAAAGACAGAATTCTAGTTTGACTAGCCATTAAAACAGTATTCCCAGGAGTTGTGGTCGCCTCAACAGGTTAAAAAAAGAAAAGCTGTTGCCAGGAAAACGTGACAACCCGACCTGAGCGGGCAATCCCACAGTAGAAAGAGAGCATCAACTCCCAAAAACTCTCCTCGGACCCCTCGCAGCTGGGTGTGTCACTCCTGCATCCACACATATGCACACACACACACACACACACACACACACACACACACACACAGGATTTCTACTACCACAACATTGCCCTATACATCTTCCAGGGGCAAACACAAGAGTCCACATACTATGGATTTTGTTGGCTAAGCTCTTAAAAATATAAATAAATAAACTTAACTATCTGTCCATTTTTGTGACAGATACTGTTTACCACAAAATAGGTATTTTTCCTTGTGAACTTTGACCCCGAAGTTAAATCAAGAAAAAGTACCAAGTCTAACCGGTGCTGGCCCACTAACTTAAGTGCTGACTCTCCCACAATTAGTAAAAGGTGTGACATAGGAATTCCGCGGGGGCATCTCAGGGGGCCAGGGAGCCCAAGTCCTAGACTGAACAATCCTACTGTTGTCCAAAACAACGACACTCGTCACGACGCGCGGGCTGCAGTCTCCTGATGCCACTTCAGACCCTCTCCCGCACCTGCGGCCAGGCCACCTGCGGATGCTGCAAAGCCCCAGCCACTTCTAGCCACCAGCCACCCTGCCACCCTGCCACTCAAGGGCACCCGGCTGACCCAGCCTGGGCACTCTCAGCCCTCCCGGCAAATGGCTGCCAAGGCTACCTGAAAAAGCAAACTTTCCCAAAGCCACGTTATATAACAACCGCAGATTTTTTTTAACCATCCATAGGCAAAACAAAAATCATAAATATTCATTATGCAAAAAGCAGTGGCGTCCGGGAGCCGTCTTTTTTTTAAAGGACTTCCGGTTGACCGGTGCTAGCTGGCAACACGGGTGACAAGGACGGACTCACAACAGTAAAGTGTATCTATCGGGTACTTCTGCGAGGTCCTGCGTTTTCCGGGATAGGAAAGGACGTTTTATGCAAACCAACTGGGGGGGAGGCACTCCCCTGCATCGAAACCGACCACGGTCTGGAAAGCGGGGAGCAGGTGGGAAGCGGTGTCCCCACCGGGGCGCCTCCTGGGCAGGGGCCTCCCTCGCACCTACCCTTGGCCAGGGCCTCGCGGTACTTCTCCTCGGTGACGTTCAGGTTGTTCACGTAGGCCGCGTGGTGCTTGCTGTGGTGCAGCTGCATGATCTGCGCGTTGATGTGCGGCTCCAGCGCGCCGTAGTCGTAAGGCAGGTCGGGAAGGCTGTGCTTGTGCCGGCGGCAGCCCGCGGCACCCGCCGCCGGGGCCAGCCTCCTGCCCGCGCTGAGGGGACACAGGAGGACGCCGCGTCACGACACCGACACCGCGAACCGGCCACCCCCGCCGCCCCGAGACCCCACCCCACACCCCACGGGGGACGCCGCGGCCCCGGGAGCCGCCGCTCACCTGCACGCCGCCCGACACAGCATACTGAGGAGCCCACGGCCTCCGCTCTCCTCGGAACACGGCCGTTCGCTCCCAAGCGCGCCTCGGCTCTGCGCCGTCCGCACCGCGTCCGCAAGGACAGCGCGAGCTGGCGACCCTGCCGGCCGCGCCCATCAGCGGAGGGGAGGACGGCGACGCGGGCGGCCCGGCCCGTGACTACGCGGCGCCCATGGGAGGCCCGCGCCTCCCCCGCGCGGAGTTGGTACGGCCCGCGAGCATGCCGTGGCCACGCCCCCAGCGTGGTCACGCCCCCTATTCGGTCCTAGCCCCGCCCTCTCTTGGTCCGCCCCGTCCAGCCTGGGCCAGTGGGCTCTGGTGCCTCCTCCTCCTCTTCCACGCTCGCCCCCGGGAAGTCCCCGAGATCGTCCTCCGGGAAGCCACGGCCCTGCTGCTGGTCAGAGCCATGGTGTAATCAGGGCCTTTCTGACCCAATTGCTTGTGCCCGGAATGACCTTCCCTGGGGCCTTCTCCAGGCCGGAGTCAGGACCGCAGCCAGGTGTCTTGATCTCCCACCCGCTGCCCTGCAGCAGGGTTCCTCAACTTCAGTCAGGTCGCAGGTTTGCAAGTGTTCATCTTTGTTACCCCTGCCATTGGCATTACTGACTCCAGGTGCAGCTTGCCAAGCCTCGCAGTTAACGTGCAAGAGTCGGCATTAGAACTCCAAGTTCATCTTTCCGAAATCCTGCCTGCCTGCCGGCCTGTACCCTGCACGTTCTGTGTATTCGATGACTTCCAAAACCAACTGCTCAACCAAATGTAAAAAAAGGACGTTGTTTCCCTTTGTGGCCTTATAGTCTAATAAGCTATGACTATCAAATGTTTTTGTAACAATTATACATAGAATTAAAGACAGCCTTCCTCTGCCACGGATAGGCTTTGGATTTAGGCCATCGTTTGTTAGAACACTATCAAAGGAAACAGAAGGCCAGTGGCTACGTGGTTCCCTGGGTTTTCTTCCGCCCCCCTTTGCACCCCTCCCAAGGATGACTGGGCTTGGGGTAAGAGGAATTCGGGAGGATGCTTTCAGGCAGAGAGAAACTTGTTCACGGGCCTCAGGAGAAGTGCTGAGTGCCTGTGCTTGGGTGAAAGAGACCGGGGTTGTGTTATGGATTCCTTTAAAATTCAAAAATCTAGCCGGGCGGTGGTGGCGCAGGCCTTTCATCCCAGCACTCAGGAAGCAGAGGCAGGCAGATCTCTGTGCGTTCGAGGCCAGCCTGGTCTACAAAGCAAGTTCCAGGACAAGACAGCCAGGATTGTTACACAGAGAAACCCTGTCTCGAAAAACCAAAAAAGAAGAAAAAGAAAAAAGAAAAAAAGCCTGAGTCAGTATGGTTGAAAACAAGTGGACCCATTAGCTGAGAAAAGGCAGTCCTGAAGGTATTCCTCTGGTGAGGTGGCCTAACACTGTTACCCTGAGGGGCAGGCTAGTCCATTGCACATGCTCGGATTTAAAATCTCTGCGTGAATAGATCTTAGCTGGGTCCTCTTCTGTTTTTTTGGGGGGGTTGTTGTGGTTTTTTTTTCAAATTAATGTTTCAGGTTAGTATACAAAGTAATGGGCTTGATTATGACTCTTTCATCTCTATTTCTTTTCATGCATGTCTCAAATCTTACCCAGGCAGGAATCTAAGTGAAAATGACTTGTACCTGGCATTGATCATAATCTCCAGAGACACAGTCCCAAATGCCATCATCCCAAATGCTGAAGTCCCAAAAGAACCAAATCCCTAAAATGTAAATTTTCTACAGTTACAATTCTGAAAGACTATAATGCTGAAATCCTGAAGCCAAAATTCCCGACATCTCAATTTCCATGTTTTTTTTTTTTTAAAGCAAATGAGAGATTTCATAAACTGGGTAAAACCCAAGTTTATGAAAACTAAGGAAATTAGTTTATGAAACTAAGGAAATTTCTAGTCACAGAATATAGATTGCAACAATTTGCAAATGTGCCACCTGCCCTGACATTCCTTCCAGCTGACAGAAGCTCAGATTTTCTATCATGAATCAAAGATACATTTGCAAAAGGTAGGGACCACCACAAATGGGAGGGTGGGGCGGGCAAACTCCAGGTCCGTAACTGTTACCCATTAAAAGCATACTCTCAACACATGAGGCCCCGATGTTTATAGACCCGGAGGAGCTCGGATGACTTATCCAGCTGAAACTAGTGGGTTTCAAGATGGCTGCACCAAGGACAAAAACAAGACGGAATGGTTACAAGAAACCAACAGAGCAATCCTCCCCCAAAACCCTCCAGCTTCAGTTACTCTGAGTTAACTTAAAAATCATTAGTTCTGGAGGCCACACATTGTTACTACTGAGCAACACATTGTTAGTTTCCTGCTAGCTTTGACATGTGGATTTTGAGAACCATCGCCTAGGCAACTTTTGCTAAAAACCCTGACTCATTATCAAAGTCTGCCCACCCGATGATGGGTGACTTAAATGGTATCAAAGGTTTGCATCTCTGTCTTCGTAGTCTGTGTGCCCCTTCTGTCTTGAGAGTCAGACGCGGCTCAGCTTGTCAGCCATTGGAGAAATGTTTTGTTGAAGACTGTGGCGCAGTGTGAACTTGGCCTACTGCCCTCTGGAGCAGTTGTGTGGCTCTTCTGCCCCAACCTGCCTTTCTCTGGATCTCAAGCACTTGTCCTTCAGCCTTAGTGTATGGTCCAAACCAAAGCAGGAGGCTAAGATATTTATGCAAGACGATGATGTGAGGAAAGACAGTTCCTGTCCGGCCTCTGCCTGTCACTCTGGAAACCTCAAGGCCAGTGGTTGCACACAAGAACATCTGTTGAAACTGTGCTCATGACTAGTGCACAATTACCAAACTTTAGTCTCCCCTCACCCACAACTCAGTAAAGGCTTTGCTGCTGTTCACTGTTAGGTTTTTTTTCTCAGTCACCACTGTCTCCTTTTGGCTTAAACTGAAGTTGGCCAGCTTAGGCTGATGTCCCAAAAAGGGGGGCTTGCCTGTCTTCCCATTTGTAGTATTTGAAGAAATCTCCTTCCTCTGCCTCCAGAGGGCTTGGAGTACAGGCATGTACCACCACATCTAGCTGCTTGGTCTCACTGTTTCCCTGCCCCAAGAGCCTATCATCTAGTATCAATAGCTTGAAGAAGCCAGCAGGGTCACTAACTGGTTGCAAAATAATTCTACATGTGGTATGAAAAGACACACAGGGATGCTGTTCAGTCACCAGGGCTGCTTCCTCCAAATCTGTGCTCCGACAATGCATGTGAAATGCACCTCACACCCAAAAGGTAGAACTCAACCCTGTCTTCCCACCTCTTTTTTGTATGAAGATGATGTATGTACATGTTCATATGGGTGTATACGTATGTGTCTGTGGGTGCTGTTCTCCTGGAGTCCAGAGATCAGTATCGGGTATCTTCCTAAATCGGTCTCTGCCTTATTTCCAGAGACAGGGTCTCTCACTGATGCTGGAGCTCATCAATTCCCAGAGTACTCATCTGTCTCCACCACTACCCCAATAGCACAGGACTTACAGCCAGGCACCACCACACCTGGCTTTTATATGCACAGGACTTACAGCCAGGCACCACCACACCTGGCTTTTATATGGGTGCTGGGGAGCTAAACTCAGGTCCTCACCTACTGAGCCACCTCCCAGCCAACTCCCTTATCCGTGTATGTGTGGGTGTGTGGTTTTAATGTGCAGCCCAGTCCAGATGCCTTGAACTCCCAATCCTCCTGCCTTGGCATCCAGAGTGATGGGATTGCAGAGGTGTACCACCATGCTCAGCTGTCAAACCGTTCTTGTTGGTATACAGCCTATGGTTTTAAACTCGCTCCGACTGCCTCTATGCATCTTTCCCACTTAGGCCTATCATCCCAGTTCCTGACTTCTCTGTTTTTTGCATTTAACTCAAGTCATTAGTTTTTTAACCTGAGGCTTGCTACTGCCCCTTTGTTCTGACCTTGGGCCATTTGTCCCTAGATTACATTTGCTTCTTTCCCAGCATCAGTGAAGACCCAGCCTCCTGTCTTTTCCTTTGACTGGTCCCAGACCAACTCTTCCCACCCTTGCAAGGAACCCAATAAACCAGAACAGAACCAAGGAAGGGTGAAAAGAAGGTTCATCCCATGCTCAAAACCAACCAGTCCCTCCAAAAGCTCCCCCACTAAGGACTATGCAATGTCCCCTACCTCCCTTAGAGTACCTCACATCTATTACTACAATAAAAGATATTTGGCTTCCCTGTGGCCACCAGGTGGTGCTCCTTCCCAGAGTACAGTACTATATAGAACTTTCAGGAAAAAGTATGCCCAGTGACCACAATTCCATGTGCCTGGACTATGGATAGCCCTGTTCTGGTGTCTCAGTGAATAACCACACCTCACTGCTGTTGTTGGGCGAGTCACTGATTTTTTTCCTCTGGTGTTTGGCAGTTAGGGTAGAAGTGTTATAGAAATAATATGCCCTCTCAGAGAGAAATCACTCTATACACTTAGGGATTAATTAAGGAAAAGCTCTTTAATAGCCCTTGACTTTCATAATGGGCAGCATAGACACAGCAATGCCCATAATGGCCTGACCCATAATGGTAAGCACAGGCAAAGTGAATTTTATGATAGCATGACTCATGGACCTTTGGTACTGGCTAGTTAATCATGGTGCTTCCAGGCATGAAATAGGTAAGAATCTTACTGCATTTTTGTTTGATCTGTATAAGCAGAAAAACTCTCAAAGGTTACACTGGATTGTGGCAAAAGGGAATCTTGACCTGTGAACCAATTTCTAGACTTGAGACAATTTGCAGATCCAGAACCCCTTGAATGAAGAGACGGCCAGGTTTCCCAGAGGAAACGCCTTGATAAAATACCTAAAGTTTTACTGTTAGCCTTTCTCCAGGGGCCAGAGAGAGGGCTCAGGGGTTAAAAGGGCGTACTATTCTTGCAAAGACACCCACGTTAGATGGCTCACAACTGTCTGTAACTCAGTGCCTCTGGCATCTGTGGGCACCTGCACCCATGCACATACCCACACAGATACAAATAATTAAAGTAATAATAAACTCTAAAAAAATAAATATTACCTTTATGACTCAAACATTTTGGATAATTAGATTTGCACTACAACCCTTTCTCGGATTATTTTATTAAATTGACAGTTTGCTTCATATAGTGACCACCAGAGGGTTCCACTATAAAGAATAGCAAGAATCACTCTCACTTCACTATTAGAGAACAGTCCACGGAGTCATCCTTTGGTGCCACACCACAGCCCTTATTTCCCAGAGGTTTTTGTAAAAGTTTTAAAACACATTGATAATCTTTGTCTGAGTTAACCATGTCATTGTGACTTACACTGTGTTTTTTTTTTCCTGTCTGTGTAGCCCAGGCTAGCCTGGAAGTTAGTATCCTCCCACTTGAGTGTACAGGAATGCACTACCAGGTCTGGAGCACAATTATTTAAAGGAAGAATAAATGCTATTTTCTTAATAATTAATTTCCAGAGTAATACACTGACTTAACAGTCAATTCCAATGGTGAAAGAATAGTTTCCTCTTATTCTTTCCTTCTAAGAATAACTGTGGATTGTGGCTGGCTTGGGGTTTTTTTGAGGCAGGTCTTGCTAGGTAGCCCAGGCTTCCCTCACATTTATAATAGCTGCCTCTGCTCCTGGGTTTTGGGATCACAAATGTGCTGAAGTTTTCATGTACTCAGTATTTGCTATCAATTGTAATCATTTCCCTTTTGATGCTAAAATTATCCCTAATTTGGCTTATGGGAAATTCTCCAAGCTGATTCCTGTGATGTCAAATTTTACTTTTGGCACATATACTACATAATGGACAATGGCAAGACTATGTACTGTATAAAACAGAATTGTAACCTACACCCTGGAGCAAACTGTCTCAAGAAGTCAAAACCTTCCTGTTTCAAAAAAACTAAAATGTCAAAACTTTAGCAGTAACAGCCCAGGAAGCCACCCTGCTGTACCCAGGCTGGTAGGAAGTCAGTGCGCTCTCTACTCATAATTCAGGAAGCTAGACCATACCTCCTATAACAATCAGTTCAAAATGCCCAGGACTTGATTGAACACTGACAGCTCCCCCAATTTTGTCTCCTGACTCCCATGTAAACCAGGGTGGCCTCAAACACCCTGTGAAGTTGAGGATGACTGGATCCTCCTGCCTTTACTTCCTGGGTGTGGTAGTTATAGGTGTGTGGCCCCACACCCGGTGTGTAAAGTGCCGGGGACTGAGGCCGAGGCTTCCTGTGTACCAGGCACTCTACCAACTGAACTATGTCCCCAGCCCTTGTCTCCACTTTCAACCTAGCCAACTATGCCCCTCTGAGGCAGACAAATGGGGTGATGGCTTCCACCGAGTCACCCACCTCTTGCTGCTGTCCAGTGTCCAGACCCCAGTCGGGGCACAGCTGAAGCAGCCCCTCTCCCACTGGGAAGCCTCTCCTCTGCCTGCGCTGGAATCTCCGCGAACTCAAGTCATGACTTAGACGATGACTCCTCCCTCCATGTACCAAACTCTCAAAAGAGAGCCTCTGCTTACTAACTTTTTTAATTTTTATTTTTGAGCCTTGGCTTTTCTCATTTGGTTTGTTGGGGTTTATTTGCAAACTTTTATTGACATGTAACTTGCATGCAAGAAATGTGACCTTTTTGTGTGTGTTTGATTAGTTTTGGTTAAGTGTGCACATCTGAGTAACCAAGATAAAGAGCAAACACGTAGCCTGGTTAACCACATACGGGTTACAGCCCTAAGTTCCGTGATCTACCTTTTCAGTTACTTCCTCTTCTCTCCCCCTTCCTAGCGCCTGCTGATCTCAGGTCCATCACCACGGGTTAGTTTTGTCTTTCCCCCTAAATCCTGCGGCTGGCTCTTACTAACTCAGACACTTCCTCTGCATTTAAGGCAGAACAAAGTATTTGACTTATGTCCCCCGGAACTGGAAGCAGGAGCTCCGGATTTTTTTTTTTTTTCTTCTTTTTTTAAAGTGGAAAATAGAACTTAAGGGCTGGAGAGATGGCTCGGCAGTTAAGTGCGCTTGGATGCTCCTCCAGAGATCCTGAGTTCAATTCCCAGAAACCACAGGGCAGCTCATGATCCAATGCCCTCCCTCTTCTGGTGTGCAGGCATACATGCAGACAAAATGCATAAATGAATTTAAAAGAAAAAAGAGAATAGAAGTTGCACACCAAGAGTGAGTGCTAGCTCTGCCTATAGCTACCAGTGGGGGAAACCATCCTGGTGTGCCTGGGAGAATTTTTTAGATTTATGTGTATGTTTCGTCTGCATGTATGTATGTATGTGTACTGTGTGTGTGCCTGACACCATCTGAGGCCAGAAGAGGGCATCATGGATGCTTGTGAACCACCATGTGGCTGCTTGGAGTTAAGCCCAGGTCCTCTGCAAGAGCAGTAAGAGCTCTTGACCATTGGACCAGGTCTCTAGCCCTTGCCTGGGAGTTTTAAACTAAATGGCCATTACCTCAGGAAACCCCTTTAACACCTGGGAAAAAGGGACAATCCATCACCCTTCAAAGCCTTTTCAGTACACAAAATTAAGACATTTCTCTTATTTTCTTAAATGAGCATACATCAATTATACAAAATAATGGACTTCATTACATCTTTTAAATTTTATGTACACATATGTGCCTCTGTGTGTGCCCACAGAGGCCAGAAGAGGAGGTCAGACTCCCCTGGAGCTGGAGTTACATGTGGTCGTGAGCATCCTGATGTGGGTGCTGGGAACTGAACTCAGGTCCTTCCAGGAGAGCAACGAATGCTCTGAATCCACGAACACTCTGGTGATCTCGTTATTTTCATGCGTGTATATTGTACTTTGATCCTATTTCCACCTCTTTACCAATGTTTTGTCCTTCCTCCCACTGGTCCCCTTAGGACACTAACTTTACAATGTGTTCAGGCAGTTGGAGAGACAGCTCAGGCGTTAGAGCACTGACTGGCTGTTCTTCTAGAGACCCAGGGGCAGTTCCCATCACCCAAATGGTGGCTTGCTACCATCTCTAACTCCAGTCCCAGATCGGCCACCCTCTTCTGACTTCCACAGACACCAGGCACACAGATATACGTGCAGGCAAAATACACATACAAAATAAAATTCTAAAATCTAAAAAAAATTTTTTTAAATAAAATGTGTTCATATATATGTCTGTGTGTCATGCTTGTGCACCACATGTATGCCTACAGAGACCAGAAGGGGGCATCAGACCCCCTGGAACTGGAGTTACAGACAGTTGTGAGCTGCCATGTGGGTGCTGGGAATTGAACCCAGGGCCGTTGAAAGAGCAACAAGTGCTCATAATCACTGAGCCATCTCTCCAGCCCCAAGCTGACATTTCAAATTTAAACTTGGTTTTTCTGAACGTCTTTAGTTTTGTATTTGTATCTCATTTTTTTTTTTTGCACTGGACATCTTTGGAGACAGTAACATTAAAATATTTGTACCACAATATGCGTAACTTCAAACCGTAATATACATAACTTCAAAACCAACAATATTATGATTAATTATAAACCACTTAATGAAACTGAGTGATTATTACTTCTCATTTATAGGACAGAGCCCTCGGTAGGCACAGTACCAGAGTTGTTCAAACACAGCTAATGTATTCTTTCCTTTGTGTATCTCAGTTACACTATTTTACTTAGAGTGAATTAGTTTGTTTCAATTTACTTTGGACTTTGGAGGGTTTTTTACCTTTTGGCTATGTAAATTTTGAAAATTTAGATGTCTTGTTTCTACCTTTATCTCCTACACCCATCACTGTCTTTATGAGTAACTATTACGTTTCTGCAATATCCTTCCATCTTTCCAATGAATATGTGCCTACTTATATGTGTATATGTATTTTTTTTAAGTTTTATTTTATTTAACGATTTATTTAGTTATTACATATACAGTGCTCTGTCTGCATGTATGCCTGCAGGCCAGAAGAGGGCACAAGATCTCATTATAGATGGTTGTGAGCCACCCTGTGGTTGCTGGGAATTGAACTCAGGACCTCTGGAAGAACAGCCAGTGCTCTTAACCTCTGAGCCATCTCTCCAGCCCCGTGTGTATATGTATTTCTATACCTTGCTTTATTCACTTAACGTGAACCCAAGACTCATTCCAAAGTAATAAATGACTTTTGGTTTTTGAGACAGGTTTCTGTGTAACAGCTGTCCTGGAACTCAATCTGTAGACTAGGCTGGTCTTGAGATCCTCCTGCCTCTGCCTCCCGAGTGCTGGGATTTAAGGCGTGCGCCACCACAGCCGGTAACACGTTAACTATTAATGACTGCATCCCCCCATCAGAAAATGGGATTTCACCGGGCGGTGGTGGCGCATGCCTTTAATCCCAGCACTCGGGAGGCAGAGCCAGGCGGATCTCTGTGAGTTCGAGGCCAGCCTGGACTACCAAGTGAGTTCCAGGAAAGGCGCAAAGCTACACAGAGAAACCCTGTCTCGAAAAACAAAAAACAAAAAACAAAAAACAAAAAACAAAAAAAAAAAAAAAAAGAAAGAAAAAAGAAAATGGGATTTCAATGTATACGTCCATTATAAACAAAGTTGATCTTCCTTAAATGGTAAAGGATCTTTGTCTATAAGAATCATCTGTTCACGTCCTTCCCCATTTTCTTTAGTTTTCCAAGGCCCCTGCGATGTAAACTGAAATATTCTCTAGCCTAGTGGGGCTACACCATGGCTCCTTTCATCATCTGGTCTATGTTGTAATCTCGTATCCTTGTAAATCACCTCCGCCAGGACACCTTCACTGGGGATTAGCAGTTCTCACAACGCTGGCTAAGCCGACCAAGCCTGAGATCGGCTTTCCCGTCTGAGGAGTGCAGAGGAGACTGCCGAGGACCGTCGTTCCTGCAGTCGTCGGGATGACTGTCTAACTGGAGTGTGCTCCATTTACAGACCCTCGCTCGGCTGCCTTCCGGGGCTTCCGCCGTGCGACCCGTCCTAGAGCTGCCTGGCCCTGCGCGCAGCCGGCGAGCGGGCTGTTGCTAAGTCCCCCCAACTCAGAACCGGGGACACCTCGGCGCGAAGCCGCTGTCTCCGCGTTCCGGCGACGGCGCGCGGAAGCATCCCGCGCGGGGCCGTGTACGGGACAGCCAATCGCGAGCCGCCTGCTCGGATTCCTCCGCCCAGGCCGTGCTGCAGCCGCAGGTGGCCCGGCCGAGCGTGTCCAGCGGCGGCCGCCGTCCCGAGATGCCTCGCGGGTGACCTCCGACCTCGCGGGCCCGCCCTTCTCTCCGGCCGCTCCCCTCCCCAACCCGAGCCGAGCTTGCAGAGCCCTCACGGGGCAGGTGCGCGACTCCGCGGACGGTCGCCGTGCAGCGGCTGGCTGCGGCGGCTCCTCCACGCCCCGAAGCCCCGAGCGGGCCGGCCGGCCTCCCTTCGCCTCTCCTCCTCGCCGGAGGCGCCCGGTGGGGGTGACCGGGGCCGTGGCCGAGAGGCGCGTCCCGGGTGAGTGGGCCACGGGCGGGGTGGCGGCGGTGCGCTCGGGGCGGGGCGCGCTCGGGGCGGGGCGGGGCCGGCGGCGGGGCCTGGTTTCCTCCTTCAGCGCCATTTTGTGGCTGCGAGACCCGCAAATAAAGGCGATCGCCGGGGCTGCGGCGGGAGGAGCGCGGGGGGGGGGAGGCCGGCTGCGGCGCGGCCTCGGCCTCTGTGACTGGCGGCGCCCGCGCAGCCTCGGGCTGGAAAGGTAGGTGCGGCCGGCGGCGGGGATGACCGCGAGGGCCTGCGGGGCCGGGAATCGAGGCGCGGCCGCCCCAGACCCGGGGAAACGCACGCCGGGCCCGAAGGGCGATCGGGCCTGGGACGGCGCAGGCTTCCCGTTAGCCTGGGCGGCTTGCTGCCCGCGGAGGTACTCCGCCGCCTCAGGGCCATTTTACTTCCGTCCCTGGCGGCCGGGGACAAGGCGGGCGTTCCCGCGGCCGGGGAGGCGGGGAGGCCGGAGGCCGCCCTCTCGGGGCTGACTGGCCATGCCGGCCCTTTCCCCGCCTCTGTCGCCCCCTCCCACCTCCCCAAAGCCTGGTTCCCGGCGACCCAGAGATACCGACGAGTTCTGCCAGGCACAGACGAAGGGTTCGGTTTTTTCTTAAACCGAATTCCACGTCACGCAGGAGCTTGTCACTGCAGCCACGTTCTCCTGTGGCCTTCCGTTTTTAAATAAGTGCATGCATTGTGAGGACGGGGATTGTTTTTTGTTTTTGACAGCTTCGAGAAATTTTTCGTCAACTTTCAGTCTTGCTTTGGATCTCTGCGAGGCTGATTTGACCATTTTTAAAATTGTTTTCCTTAAGAGTGAATGCACAGTTAAAAAAAAAAGGCCTAAGTTTTTGTGTTTGTGTACGTTTTCTTACGGGGCGGGGGACGGCTAGGGATGGAATCCTAGGCCTTGTGCATGCCAGGCCAGCCTTCTGCCATTGAGCTGTTCTCCCAGCCCACAGTTCTTGGTTTGATAATGAGGAAGTCAGTTAACTCAACCCCAAAGGACTAAGACACTCTTAGCTGGTTGTAAAGATCGCTGAGCATGCTATAGTCCTAAGTCTCTCTCATGTGTTTATAAGTTTTATTTATGCCTCTCGTCCTTTTCACTCTAGCTATTTTCATTTAATATTATTGTTTCCAAAGATGAGTGGAAGTCACAGATCTGTTACTACAAATTCTGGTGTTTGTTTTTTCCCCCCCTTTAACTTACATTTTTGAGCATTAGGGCTGGAGAGTTGGCTCAACAGTTAAGAGCACTTTTTGGTCTTGTAAAGGACATGAATTCCCAGCACCCAAATGATGGCTCCTGGCCATCCTTAACTCCAGTCCTGGGATTATTACTTCCGCTTCTGATCTCTGTGGGCGGCACCAGGTCTGCACGTGGTGCACATACATACATGCAAAACATTCATAAACATAAATCTTTTTAAAATGACAGGTTTTGTAAAACATTCATAAACAAAATAAATCTTTTTTAAAAATCACAAATTTTATTTTAAAGCTGAGCATCAGGTTTTCTCATAGGTATCGTAGACGTTTGAAACGATTGAAACCAAATTTTCAAGGTGGCTAGGTTTTATTCATTCAGTAACAACTGATGAGGCAAGTCACTAGGTGACTTCTGATGTGACTGAAGTTGAGTGTAAGCATTTGGGCAGATGTGTTTCCAAGAGTGCTCTAGTCCTTCAGTCTGAAGCAGACTGTGTTTGCTTTAGTGGACCCTTTGGCAAAGCAAGATGTAAGATAACAAACATTACTCTTGTTTTTAATTACCTCCTGCTTTCTACCTCTGAATACTTTGTATTTCCTGTAGCTAACTAAACTTGGAGAAAAATTTTCAGTATTCCCACAGTTGTATAAGCTACTGGATATAGTGTGAGACTCTTCCATCAGACTAGAATTCAGTGCTATCAATATTCTCTGCCTTAAAGATGGAGTTTATTTTCCTAATGTTATATTTTTTCTTTTTTTAAAGATTTATTTATTATGTACATAGTGTTCTGCCTGCATGCATGACTGCATGCCAGAAGAGGGCACCAGATCTCATTTATAGATGGTTGTGAGCCACTATGTGGTTGAATTGAACTCAGGACCTCTGCATGAGCAACCAGTACTTTTAACCTCTGAGGCATCTCTCCAGCTCCTGTTACATTTTTTTTCTGTTGATTGTGTTCAAACAGTCCTTGTATAGTGTTTTTATGCCACCAATCATAGAGGTCTGCAGCACTTTTGCTGATACAGAAACTGAAGCCCAGAGTTAAGTGACTTGTTCAATAAGGCGGATGTGACTGACTGAAATAGTAATCTGATTTCTTTTCTTTTCTTTTTTTGGTTTTTTCAAGACAGGGTTTCTCCGTGTACCTTTGATTTCTTTTCTTTTTTTTTTTTTTGGTTTTTTCAAGACAGGGTTTCTCCGTGTACCTTTGATTTCTTTTCTTTTTTCTTTTTTTGGTTTTTTCAAGACAGAGTTTCTCTGTAGCTTTGCGCCTTTCCTGGAACTCACTTTGGAAACCAGGCTGGCCTTGAACTCACAGAGATCCATCTGCCTCTGCCTCCTGAGTGCTGGGACTAAAGGCTTGCGCCACCACGGCCCAGTCTGTGCTCTTGATTTCTAACTAGTCCCTTTGTACTGCAGTGCTGTGGCTCCAGCACTGTAGGTAATGGGTTTCCTATATCCATTGTGGTTTATTTCAGGGAGGCATATACATGCCTTCTTGTATACGTTGTTTTGGCTTCTGCTCGCCTTTCTCCAGAGACTGCTAAGTTGCCCAACTTAGGATCATAGTGTTATGATCTGGAATGCTAGGCACCTAGTGAACTAAAACTGAATTCCACAACCTAAGCTAGGCATTGATGACGTTCTGAATTTGAGATATATTATCTCTGAACGGTCTACACAAATAACTGAAATAAAAAATATACTTATTGCTAGGTGGTGGTGGTGCACTCCTTTAGTCCCAGGAGAGGCAGAGGCAGGTGGATCTCTGAGTCTGAGGCTAGCCTGGTCTACATAGTGAGTTCCAGGACAGCCAGGGCTACCCAGAGAACCCCTGTCTTGGAAAAAGTATATATTATAATAAATATATATTTAACATATATATATATATATGCTTATTTATTCTATTTTATGTGTATGGGTGTTTTGCCTGCATGTATGTCTCTGTTCCGTGCCTTTGCGGTGCCCTTGGAAGAAGAGGGTGTCAGATCCCCTGGAACTGGAGCTACAATGGTTATGAGCTACAGTGTGGGTGCTGGGAATTGAACCCAGGTCCTAGGAAAGAGCAGCTAGTATTAACTTCTGAGCCATCTCTCCAGCTGCTTTCTCCCCCTTACATAATTTTAAAACTAGTCATCTTTAGCCGGGCGGTGGTGGCGCACGCCTTTAATCCCAGCACTCGGGAGGCAGAGCCAGGTGGATCTCCATGAGTTCGAGGCCAGCCTGGGCTACAGAGTGAGTTCCAGGAAAGGTGCAAAGCTACACAGAGAAACCCTGTCTCAAAAAAAAAAAAAAAAAAACCTAGTTATCTTTAAACCTCTTGGAAGGTTGCCAAGTTGAACATGTTTGAATTTTTCTGTTTTGCCTTTGTTTTTTAAGATGGTATGTCTCTGTATAGCCATAGCTGACCTGCCGCTTCCTTGCAGGTAGAATTTGAAACGCTCCAGCCTCTGCCTCTTGAGTGCTGTAATGAACTGTATGTGCTGTCCATACTCAGCATGTTTTCGTTTCTGGTTTTTGAGACAGGGTCTCACTGTGTAGCCCTGCCTGGCCTGGAACTCAGTAAGTCCCAGTTACTCAAAATGCCAAAGTGTGTTGTCTTTTTTTTTCTCTCATTTGCAATTCCGGGGCTCAAACCTCAGGCCTTGCATGTGCTTATATCATGCAGTTTACAACTATATCTCTACATCCCTAACCCATGAAAGATTTTTAAATAGAGAATATTTAAGCTAGTAATTTACAATGTGGTCATTTCGAGTGTTTTCCTAAAATTTTTATTTCTTCTGTACAACAGATCTAGTTTGAGAACCCAGGGTTCAGTGGCGGTATGATTGGAATATGTAGTTCATATGGGAGTATATGTAAAATTGATACTGGAAAATGTTTAATACATTTTTTTGTAAATCTCAAATATTCATTAAGAGATTAAATAGCTTTTAAAAGTCAATACAACAAATTCTTCAGTCAAAATTTTAATAGTTCAGAATTTTCAGACAGATTTCTATGTACCTTTGGCTGTCTGGAACTCTCAATGCAGGCTGGCCTCAAACTACAGAGATCTACCTGCCTGTTCCTCCAGAGTGCCGGGATTTGAGGTGTGCACCACCACGCCCAGCTGATAGTTTGTAATTTTTGGTAGGTATAGATAAGAAAGTAAAATGGAAAAAATAAAGATGTAAGGGAACTTTGATGAGTCTGCTGTGAGTACTAGGACCTAGGAATAACTGTGTGTGTTTCCTGGTTAAATTTGAATGTTAGACAACAACAGAAAAACAAAACCACCTGGGCAGTGGTAACGCACACCTTTAATCCCAGCACTCTCTGTGAGTTCAAGGTCAGCCTGGTCTATAGGAGTTCTAGGACAGCAGTACTCCTACACAGAGAGAAACCCTGTCTTGAAAAAGAAAACAGCAGATGTGTTCATTATAAGAATAAGAACCTTTTTTTTTTTTTCAAAAGATTTATTTTATGTATATGAGTGCTCTATTGACTTTATGCCAGAAGAGGGCACCAGATCCCACTATAGATGGTTGTGAGCCACCATGTGGGTGCTGGGAATTGAACTCAGGACCTCTAGAAGAGCAGCTAGTGCTCTGAACCTCTGAGCCATCTCTTAGCCCCCCAGAAGAACTCTTTTACTGATCTTTAATTGTGGGTGTGTATGCTAGGGTGCATGTGCTTGCCTCTGAAGGCCAGAAGTGTCAGATTCCTTAGAGCTGGAGTTGTGAGCTGCCTTATGTGGATGCTGGGAACTGAACTCATGTCCTCTTGGAGAGCAGTTAACTGCTGAGCCATCCCTCTAACCCAAGAACTCATGTTTTAATTGTGTATAAATTATTACTTCAAAATCAGTTTAGATTTGGAAAAAAAAATTACTGGCCCCCAAACTAAGTCAAGTAATATTTAGTGCTCATAAAAAATCTTTGTGAGATTAACTTTCCCTGTTCTGTACATTGGCTCCCCAACTTGTATTGTAATACATTATTTAAGGTACATTTGTTACTGTTTCTGTCTTTCTGTAGTGTGAGTTTATGGTTTAATAAGTAATGACTGCCAGGTAGGCCATGCCTTTAATTCCAGCACTTGGGAGGCAGAGGCAGGCGATCTCTGTGAGTACAAGGCCAGCCTGGTCTACAGAGTGAGTTCCAGGATGGCCAGAGCTAGCTACATAGTGAAACCCTGTCTCAAAAGAAAAAAGAAAAGTAATGATTGCTGCTAGTGTTCATTCTAAAAGATGGGAGCAGGTAGTGGTTCTCTTGAGTTACCTATCTTTTGCAACAGTTAAATGAATTTTGTATAAATATCTAAAGAAGCTAATTTTGAAATATAGATTACTTTGACTTGCAATTATGTGGTATAAACATATTTTTATTAAGATAAACATTGTATTTAACGTTATTAGAGAGTAGTGAATTATGTGATGGATTCTGCTTCACTGTAAAAGCATAATGTAGAAGTCAAGGACAGGGAACTAACTGATGCTGCCCCTCTGTGGCCCTTCAGCAACATGCCTAGATTGCCTCTGAGGTCTGACTTACAGGGAGCTTTTTAAAAAGTTACATAACCATGATAATGAAAGATGTTAAGCAGAGAGGAAATTTGTTGAAAGTTACAGGTTAACTCGTGTCTTTGTGCTTTTTTTTTTTGGTAAATTGAAGCTATCCTGGGCTAAAGTCAGTGATAGAACACTTACATAGATAGAATGTGAAGGAAGAGTCCTGGGTTGAATCCCCTTCACTGCAGTGAATGAATGGATCAAACAAACTGTTGTGAAATAAAATGCTATTTTAATAACTATTTCATATTAACATTTGCTAATAACTGGTTTGAAAGAAAATCAACTGAAAATCTTTTCCTCAACACTCCCCCCCCCCCCCCCCCCGCTTTTTTAGGGTGCAAGATGACCAACGAAGAACCTCTTCCTAAAAAGGTATGTTGTTTCAGCAGCTTCACTTCATCTTTTTGTGTTCTTATTTTTCACTTCCTTTCCCTGATACTTTGCATCAGGGGGTGCAAAGTGTTAGACGTGTATCTGCATGTGCTCAATTTAGAATGGATGATGACAGCTTATGGAAGGCGTTACAGTATTCTTGTGGTCTGCAATTCTTAGTCTGAATTATATGGATATTTCCTTATACACATGTTATGTACAATTTCTAAACTTTCTTTTACAGATAATTTATATACATATATTTCTATTTACTCTCATTTTCCCTCCTAATTTGTTAAACCACCAAGGTTATAACTGAAATCCTTCCACTATGGATTTTTCAAGACTACAGCCAGTTAGTTCTTATAATCTGTTTTCCTCTTTGATTTTTTAACTTTTGATTTCCCAGTTCTATAGTCCTATACTGAGTTTAGCTATTACATTTATAGTATAGATACACTACATATACCCTGAGGTTTTGTTAAAGAGAATAGTATAGTTTATGGAAGACTTTGAAACTTGCTTGGAAAGCTTGGTGTTTGTTCATTAAATATTTAATATCTGTTGTAGAAAGTGGAGTGAGTAAAGAACTGAGTGTGCAGGAGCTGTGTTTGCTTGCTCTGGGCTCATGTTTCTCGGTTTGCAGTGTAACACTGATGTTACTGGTTAATACTAGACACTGTAAAGGGAATGCTCTCTGTGCTTCTGGGCTGCGTGCACAGTGTGCGGGCACTCCTCCACTGAGCTGCGCTTCCTCACCAAGAAGTTTGCTTTTTAAAAAATACTTATTTACTTCTTAGTTATGTGTATGTATACATGTGTCAGAAATGTGCAGAGTGCAAGTGTTTTAGGAGGCCTGAGTTACAGGTGGCTGTGAACCACGTGACATGGTTACTGGGAATCGAACTCATGCTCTTAACCACTGAGTCATCTCTCCAGCCCAGTATTTTCTTTTTTTAATAAGGGAAATTAATAAAGCCTTCGTTGTTTGCTTGTTTGTTTTTAAAATATGGGGAAATACTTCTAAATGTATGAAACAATTTCAGCTTATGTTCTACTTTTAAACTTTGTTGGAAAGTTAATAAATTGATAAGTTTTAAAAATATTCAGGGATGGAGCTGGAGAGATGGCTCAGAGGTTAAGAACACTGGCTGCTCTTCCAGAAGTCCTGAGTTAATTCCCAGCAACCATGTGGTGGCTCACAGCCATTTATAATGAGATCTGGTGCCCTCTTCTGGCATGTAGGCATACATACAGGCAGAACTCTGTATACGTAATAAATAAATATTTAAAAAAATATTCAGGGACATTCTGTGAACCTCGTTCAAAAAACTAGGGAACTGGTACACTCTGAGTTTTCAGATATTCTCTTCATGTGAAAGTGCTGTTTTATCATGTGTGCAGCTTTGTGTGAGAACCACCAATCAAGATCAGCATCTGAATGGTCACCACAGGGCCCTTGTAATTATAATGTTTCCGTTTCTTTAACTAACCTGAGTGTGTGTGTCTCCTTTTGAGATTATTTTTTCACTCAGCATAACAAATATTTGTTTCATATATCAATAGTCTTATTTCTACTTACTGCTGAAAAAATGTTGTATAATATAACTATCATGGTTTTATACACACTTACCTGTTAAGAGACATTTGGATGATCCCAGCTTTGGGCCGTCACAAATAAAGCTGCTCGTGATAAACTTTCTTTGGGCTGAATGCTCAAGAATGCACCTACTGGGGGTTGGAGAGATGGCTCAGTAGGTAAGAGCACTGGCTGTTCGTCCAGAGGTCCAGGGTTCCATTCCCAGCACCCACATGGCAGCTCATAACTAACTGTAACTCCAGTTCCAGGGGATCTGACACCTTCACAGCAATGCAAATTAAAAATTTTAAATAGCCGGGCGGTGGTGGCGCACGCCTTTAATCCCAGCACTCGGGAGGCAGAGCCAGGCGGATCTCTGTGAGTTCGAGGCCAGCCTGGGCTACCAAGTGAGTTCCAGGAAAAGGCGCAAAGCTACACAGAGAAACCCTGTCTCGAAAAACCAAAAAAAAAAAAAAAAAAAATTTTTAAATAAATTGTAAAAAAAAGAATGGAACTACTGAGTCACGTGGAATGTGCAATTTTAATCTTGCTGTTTTGGCTTTTTCATTTTTTAGCAGGGATTTTTGTTGTTGTTTGTTTGAGTTTCTTGTATCTCTGTATGTTGGGGAGATACCCCGAGGTGGGAAAGGGGTATTGGATCCTCTGAAGCTGGAGTTGCAGGCATTTGTCACGCCCTGACTGACGTGGGTGCTATGAACTGAAATGGTGTCCTCTGGAGAGTTCCAGGCACTCTTAACCATGAAGCTGTCTCCAGCCCTCACTTGTAGTTTAGAGGCTATTTTTGTAGTTTAGAGGCTATTTTTCAGAGTTGTGAGGTATGATGAGTACTGAGCCATTTAAATAATCCAGCTTGGGAGGCATTTCCTAGCTCAGCACAGAGCTCCTGTGGAAACAGCTTTGCACTCTGGAAGAGTACTCAATCCATTTTTAATTTTCTTTATAGGTCCGATTGAGCGAAACAGACTTCAAAGTTATGGCACGGGATGAGTTGATTCTAAGGTAAAATGTTCTTTTATCAAAAATTCAAAGAATCTATAGACAACTTACCGTGACTGCTATGTAATACTTACCTTTATGCCATCTGAAATTTGGGTTTGCTTATTTTTATTGTTGTTGCTGATTATATTAGAGACAGTCTTCCTGTAGAAGTTAGGATTCTCCTGCCTTAGCCCACCAAGGGCTAGGACTAAAGGTGTGTACTTTGTTGTTGTTGTTGTTGTTTACTTTTTGTTTACTATAGTTTTTTACTATAACATAAGCTTAGGTGCTTTCTAGAACACAGAAATCAAATTTTCTTGCAGAGCTAAGATTTGTTACATGGGAAACATTTTTTTTTTTAATATATGGCTTGCTGGAGAATATGTTTCTTTGTTTAATCCTGGCTGTACTGGAACTTGCTCTGTAGACCAGGCTGGCCTTGAACTCACAGAAATCTGCCTGCCTTTGCCCCTCAAGTGCTGGGATTAAAGGCGTGCGTGCCACCATCACCCAGCTCAATCTGACATTTTTTCATGTTAACATAGACTCAAGTCACTTGGTATGGTTTTTGGACATGTTTCCTATGGTTCTTCAGTATATAAACAAGAACTATAACATAAGCTTAGGTGCTTTCTAGAACACAGAAATCAAATTTTCTTGCAGAGCTAAGATTTGTTACATGGGAAACATTTTTTTTTTTAATATATGGCTTGCTGGAGAATATGTTCAGTTTAATAAATCAGCAGGCACAGGGCTCAGTAGATAAACACCTTTTCTGTGCAAACCTAGCTTTAACCTGAGCTGAATCCCTGGAACCCACATAAAGCTAGAAGGATTTAAAAAAAAAAAACAAAATGCCGCAAAACTATCCCCTGGGCTCTTCCACATGTGTGTGTGTTATGGCAAATGTTGAGCTCACACACAATAAGTTTTAATAAAAACAGTAGGTATGGATGTTGGTTTTTTTTGTTTTTGTTTTTGTTTTCCTCAAACAGGGTCTTAACATATATTTAAGTTGGCCCCAAATTGGAAATCCAAATTAGTCTTCTGAATGTTAGGAATGCAAGCATGTACTACCATGCCTACTCAATTGTCTTTGTCTTATATTTGTTTTTCTTTTATTATGTAACATTTGAAGAGTTATAATCAAAGAATGATTCCCCCCCACCCCCCATGTTTTGAGACGGGGTCTCTCTGTGAAGCCCTGGCTATTCTGGAACTCAATTTGTAGATTAGACTGGCCTCAAACTCAGACATCTGCCTGCCTCTTCCTCTCAAGTGCTGGGACTAAAGGTGCATATCAGTACTGCCCATCCCAAAGGAATGATTTTTATGATTTTTATTTTATGTGTATGGGTGGTGTTTTGTCTGCATGAATACCTGTGCACCATTGCCTGCCTGGTGCCTAGGGCAGCCAGAAAACGGGATTTAGAGTTAGGAGCTGTTATGTGGTTGCCCGGACTCAAACAGGTCCTCTGGAAGAGCAGCCTGCTGTTAACAACTGAACCATCTCTCCAGCCCCTGGATTAAATTGTTTGTTTGTTTTTATTTTTCAAGACAGGGTCTCTGTGTGTAGCCCTGGCTGTCCTGGAACTCTCTGTAGACCAGGCTGGCCTCGAACTCAGAGATCCACCTGCCTCTGCCTCCCAAGTACTGGTACTAAAGGTCTAAATTTAAAAAATTAAATTATTTTTAAAGCTTCCTCTTAGTTCTGAATTTCTATGGTTAGATTATAAATACTTCATTAAAAGAAGCTAGTTAAGCACATCATTCTAGTAATGGTATTTTAAATATAAGGAACCAGAAAATGGGTTGTTTTGTTTTTTCGTAGCTTACATATATTTTTTCTGTGCTTCTGGTTAATAAGTTTTTGACTGGTAACTTTTAGATAAAAATAAATGAATTTTAAAATTTGTATTCCATTGATTTATTAGAGGGGTAGGCATGTGCTGTGTAGAAGTCACATGGTAGGGGTTCTATGTTTGCACCGTGTAGAGTCTGGGAGCTCAAAGTCAGATAAAGTGCCTTTATCTACTGAGCCATTTCACTGTCCCTAAATCAAAGTTACTGAACTTTGCTGTCTTTATATTTTTCAAGGACTTTATTTAAGTTAAGCAGATTTATCAGGGGAGATGTAAGGGAGAGAAGAGAGGATTTCATTTTGAGGAGATGAAGAGACCATTGCACTGTTCTAGAGGTTGGTCTTCATTCAGTGCTAGAGGTGGAGCCCAGGGCTTTCACACCAGGCATGCACTAGCCGCTGTTACAAGCCAAGTTCAGTAATTTCCCACTGTGGCTTGCACTACGCTGCTCAGACTAGTCTGTTGTGAACCTCTGCTGCTTTTTCTGCCACAAGTCTATATGTAGGACAGTTTTCCATTGTGCATCTTTATCACTCTTGTCCTCTTGCTGACAAAAACACCTTTCCGTTTTGGAAATACTATAGTTCTTTACTACAGTTCAGTACTAGAGTTGCTTTATGATTCTTAGACTCTTGCCTGCTTGCTTTTTTTTTTTTTTTTTTAATCAGTCTTAACAGTTTTTCTGTGTAGCCTAGGCTGGCCTGAACTCCCAGTCCTACACCTCAGTGTCTTCATTGGTAAGATTACAATTGTGTGCCACTAAGGCCACTTGGCTTTTTTCAAATTGGATTCTTTATTGCTGACTTAACTCCTGAGCACAAGCAATCCTTCCTTATAGTCTCCAAAGTTGTTAGAATTATTGGTGTGCATCACTGCCACCATTTGTAGTCTCTTGATTTAACAACTAGAAGAAACAAAATATCGGTTATACTTTCTTTCAAAAATTCTTAAATGTGTATGTGTGTGGTTGTGTTCACGTGATTGCAGGTCCTTTGGAAGCCAGAGGTGGTGGACTGTTACAGGCAGTTGTGAACCACCTGATGAGGGGGCTGGGAGCTTGAGCTCTTCTGCAAGAGCCCTATGCTCTCTTAACTGCTGAGCTATCCTATCCCTCCAGCCCCCAAATAGTGATCTTAGTAACAGTTGAAGTAGGACTGTTTCTGCTAAGTAACCTTTAAAAGTTTCTAAAATGTGCAATTTATACTTCTTAGGAAATCCTTTTTAAAAACTTTTCAGTGAGTTTTTTTTCTCCTTAAATACTTCCATGGTTTTAAATCAACTGTTTAATTAGTCTGTTTTCTCAGGTCTGAGGGATTTGTTTTTGTTTTGAAATGTGTTGTAGCCAGGATGCCCTTGAACTCCTGATCCTCCTTTTTTCTGTCATTTTATGGATGTCCCTGTTCGTGCTTTGGAAGTTTTTTTTTTTTTTGGTGGGGGTAGGCTTTGTTTTGTTTTGTTTTTTTGTTCCTCTAAAATAGCTCTTCTAGACTCCACAAAGAATCTGTGTTGATTTCTAAATAGTCAGTGAGCTCTTATGTATCCTAAAATGTAGGGGGCCCTAAAAATAAGCATTCATAGTGGTGTCTATGTAGAAGATGATTAGCTAGGGTGTTTGGTTTTTCGAGACAGGGTTTCTCTGTGTAGCTTTGCGCCTTTCCTGGAACTCGCTCTGTAGCCCAGGCTGGCCTCGAACTCACAGAGATCCTCCTGCCTCTGCCTCCCGAGTGCTGGGATTAAAGGCGTGTGCCACCACTGCCCGGCTCCATTAGCTAGTTTTATTGCATGTCTGATGATAATTATAAATCATCTTCTAGAATTAAATTTTAGGTGCCAGGGATGTAGCTTTATTGGTAGAATGCTTGCCAAGAATCCATAAGGGCTTGGGTTCCATACCCAACCATGTCAACTGGGGTTTCTGTATCCCTGCACTTGAGGTGGACACAAACAGAGAAGCCAAAGGTCATTTTCAACTTTGCAGTGAGTTTGAAGCCAACCAGAGGTACATGAGACACTGTCTCAAAGGGAAAAGGTCAAATTTAAATTTTACTTAGCTGTACCTATTTAATAAATAAATAAATAAATAAATGCTTAAAATAAGCATGCTGACAGACATTCAAAGAAGGGTATTCTCTGTCAGGGGGTGCTCAAACACAAGCCTGAGGAAGTCTGTATTGTTAGTTGTTGTGATTGCCGAAGCAGCTGGTGACTGTACATTGAGTAGAGGACTATAACAAGCAGGGAACGTCCCTTAGTTCCCTGATGATAGGAAGCACATGGCATTTCTGCAGGTTGTTTGCCAATTAGATGTCATTTTTCAATCTTGAAAAATATTCTTTAACCTATTCTTGTAGGTAAAAAAGCAACTTTGCCAGCGGGCCATGGTGGCTCATGCCTTTAATCGCTGAAGGGACACTAGCCTACCCAAATATGTGACTCTGCAGACCTTATCCTTCTTCCCTCTCCCTCCCCCCACACACACACCTTTAGATTACATCCCTAAAGCTAGCCACCAAGGTCGTTTCCCTTATTTGGATACTTTTCTATGCCAGACTCATTCCTGAGGATAAGTACCAAAGTCCAGCAATCAGAACCTCCTTTGGTCACCTAATTAACATGCCCAATCAAAATATCCCATTGTATTCTAACCCATTCTAACACAGACCTGCCCTTTTCCTCCTCTTAAAAAATTACACTGACTGTTCTTCTGGAGGACACGGGTTCAATTCCCAGCACCTACATGGCAGCTCACAACTGTCTAACTCTAGTATCAGGGGACCTGAGACCCTTGGCAAAATGTCAATGCACATAAAATAAAAACAAATTTTTAAAAATCTTAAAATTATACCTGCAAGTCAGAAAGCAGCCACTTTATCTTTTCTTTCCCCCTTTAATAAAGGATCTCACTGTGAAAACAAATGTTTGGGTGTGGTTTGTGCCTAATCCAGGGTCTGGAAGGGAGCCCCCGCTGTCCAGGGGTCTTCTTCAGTGGCAACACTCAAGGCAGAATGGATCACTTGCAAGGCTCGTGTGGTCTATGTAGATCCAGCAAAGATAAAATAGTGAGATTCTGTCTTCAGCAACAAAAACATAACATTGCTTTACTAAGAAATAGAGGGAAGTTTGAAGATTCTGAACACAAAGAAATAATTAAATATCATTTTAAAGAGATGGAAATGCTAATTACCATTTTGGTCATTCCATACTGTATTCATGCATATATTAAATTATCACACTGTGCCCCATAAGTGTGGACATGATCATTTAAGACTGGGAAAAATACTACTTTGAGATAATGCATTTTCAAAAAGAATAGTTCCTTGCAGTTGAGCACATTTTTCTCTTTTCAGGGGAGAGCATAACCAAAACTAGAATATTCTGCTTTGTAATCTTAAGCATTAGTGGTATCAAAACAAATGTGGTGTGATCTCACTCAGAATCTAAGAAGAGCATGAGGGCCTGCTTGACATGGTCACAATAGAGAACACTTATCTTTATATTCCCCATCTCTCTCTCTCTCTCTCTCTCTCTCTCTCTCTCTCTCTCTCTCACTCACTCACACACACACACACACTCTCTCCCTCTCTCTCTCCCTCCCCCCTCCCCCCATTGAACTGGGCAAGTGCTTTACTGATCAACTATGGTCAGGCTCCCTTTTGGTTGTGGGGGTGGGTGGGTGGAGTAGGAAAGGTCTCTCTGTAGCTCTGGCTGTCATGGAAATCACACTGTAGACCAGACTGGCCTTGAACTCAGCCTGCCTCTGCCTCCCAAGTGCTGGGATTAAAGGCATGTACTACACTCCCCGGCTCCTTTTTGTTTTAATATCAGAGTCTTGATAAGTTGCCATACTGGCCTGGAGCATGCCATCCACCAGCCTTCCTAGTAACAGGATTGTAGGCAGGTTGCCACCAGGTCCAATTTATGTGTGTTCTTTTACCTTGGTATATTTTCTTTTACCTGTCTTATGTAAATTGAGATGAAATGAGGCTGATGAGTGTATTTCTGATTAAACTATGTTTGTGGTTATCTCAAAGTTAAAAATAATCAAACACAGTTCTTATGATTGTGGGTATGATTTTGGGGGAGGGGAATTCCAAGACAAGGTTTCTCTGTATAACAGTCCTGGCTGTCCTGGAACTCACTGTAACCCAGGCTGGCTCGAACTAATAGAGAGCTGCCTGCCTCTGCCTCCTGAATGCTGGGATTAAAGGAATACACCACCACTGCCCAGCATGATTTTTTTAAATAAAGGTAATTTCATTGTAACCACTAACGTGAATTTGTTTTTTACTAGATGGAAACAATATGAAGCATACGTTCAAGCTTTGGAGGGAAAGTACACAGACCTTAATTGTAAGTTTGATCTTCCTAAATGAAGATTGTATAGTTGTCTTTGGAAAACTTGTTACAGTATAAATTGCTTTGTTGAAGCAGATAAAGTTTTGCTCAAGCAATTTATTATATGAGATGTGTCCAGGCACTGTAGGAGCTGGAAAATGTAATGGATGATGTTTGAAAGATGACTTCTTCTGACAAATCCCTAGGCACCAAGGAAGACATAATGTATTCTAATATATAATGGCATGCCTGATTTTAGCGAAATGAAGTACAAGTAGGATAACTCAGACCTGCTTGGACTTTTGGTGTGTACCTAACTACCTTCTACTCAGGAATTTTAACTACATGAACTTCAGTATAGGAGGGACAGTGCACAGAAAAAAGCATAATCCACTTTTGAGAACCTAAATGACACTAGGATGTAGCTCTTTGTGTACAGATTTTCCGAAATCTGCCAAACAACAAACCTTATGCCTTAAAACCACTAGTGGTCTGGTACTTTCCTGAGTTAGAATATCATACTGTTGTGAAGTATAATAACTATAGTTTTTCCAGTCCAGATAACTGAATCTCCCAAAATTTTAATAATTGTGTGGTTATATTACTCATATAGATTCGGCTTATAAAAGTTTATAGTGAGCTGGGCAGTGGTGGCGCACGCCTTTAATCCCAGCACTCGGGAGGCAGAGCTAGGTGGATCTCTGTGAGTTCAAGGCCAGTCTGGTCTCCACAGCGAGATCCAGGACAGGCACCAAAAACTACTTGGAGAAACCCTGTCTCAAAAAACCAAAAAAAAAAAAAAAAAAAGTGTATGGTGTTTGTTCATGTAGTCAGTGGCTTTTGTTTTGTGTTGTCAAAGATGTCCAGGAACTTAAGATCTCCTTGCCACTGCCTCCTGAGTGTTGTGATAAAGACAGCATACTGCTCTGCCATGCTAAGCCAGTTAGTGCCATTGTTATATTGAGTAGGTTAGAATGTATTATTGGGATTTTTGTAAATATTGAATGTACTATAAGTGAGTGTAGGTAGTGTGGCATCTTGTGTTTAGGTGGGACTGATTTAAGTACAGAAACAGCTGGTGTAATAATATGGTTGGGGAACATTAGTCATTGCTTCCTGGGGGTGGGGTCTCATGATCAGAACAAGTACCATTGTTTCAAAAACAGTATGAAGACTAAAGGCAATTGATTTTTTTGATTACTCTTGACAGAGACAACTTTCTTTTGGTTAGTTCAATTTGACCTTGAAATGAGATTTGTAATGTTTTGGATATCTTTTCTCTTACTCAGCAAATGATGTGACTGGCTTAAGGGAATCTGAAGAAAAACTCAAGCAGCAACAGCAGGAGTCTGCACGCAGAGAAAACATTCTTGTCATGCGATTAGCAACCAAGGAGCAGGAGATGCAGGAGTGTACTGTAAGTATCTCAGCATTGTAATCTCTAGTTGAGGAGTCCACATCAGCCCAGGTCGTTTTTAAATAGTGCTAATGGCAAAGAAAGGCATACCTGGTTAAGGGCAAGGTGCTGGAGAGTGATGGGAATACTGAAGGTCTGGGGTGCCTGCTTTCATCCTGATTCCTAACTTTGACAGTTCGGGGTTTTTGTTTTCTGTACCTAGACAGTTTGCACGACTCCAACCGACTCTCCAGCTGTTGTTTACACAGTGGCTCTTTAGACCATCGTGTCTGCTCAAGAACTGGGTGGTGGTACTCTATCACCATTTTGGTTTTGAGTTTTGTTGTAGGTTTTTATTTTGTTTTGGGTTGCATTTTTTGCTGTTGTTTGTTTTTTTGTTTGCCTTAACTTTTTATGGTAATATTTTTAATATTTATTTATTTATTTATTGTTTTGTTTTTTCGAGACGGGGTTTCTCTGTGTAACTTTGGTGTCTGTCCTGGATCTCGCTCTGTAGACAAGGCTGACCTTGAACTCACAGAGATCCACCTGGCTCTGCCTCCCAAGTGCTGGGATTAAAAGTGTGCACCACCACCACCTGGTTTATTTTTATTTCATGTGTATGAGATCTTGGCCTGCATTTCTGTCTGTGCACTACATGTATGCCTGGTGCCTGTGGAGGCCAGTAGTGGGCATTGAATCCCCTGAAAGTGGAGTTACTAATTGTTGTTAACCACCACATGATTGCCAGAAACTGAACCTAGGTCCTTTGCAAGAGCAACTAGTGCTGTTAACCACTGAGCGGTCTCTCCAACCCTGGTCCTATTCTTTATGCCTTTCCCCTGAATAGTACAACATTGTTCTTGTAGTTACAGAAACCAAAAAAAACAGGAAGGGCACGTAAAGTTGGAATTTTGGGTAGGAGTTTTGAAAAGTAATTAAGGGCTTGGGGACTTAGGTTTTATTCTAGATATAAGTAATGGCAAGAGGTTTTTTTCTTAATTTTAAATTTTTTAAATGATTTTTTTTTTTCAGTGACAGGGTCTCGCTATGTAGCTCTGGCTAGCCTGGAACTCCCTATGTAGACCAGACTGGACTTGAACTCACAGAGATCCACCTGCCTCTGCCTCAGTTCTGGGATTAGAGGCGTGCACTACCATGCCCAGCTACCAGTGCAGAATTTTTCAGCAATAGATTCCTGGGGTTAATTAACTGATATTTTGGGCCGGGCGATGGTGGCACACGCCTTTAATCCCAGCACTTGGGAGGCAGAGCCAGGTGGATCTCTGAATTTGAGGCCAGTCTGGTCTACAGAGCGAGATCCAGGAAAGGTGCAAAGCTACACAGAGAAACCCTGTCTCGAAGAAAAAAAAAAACTGGCATTTTGGGTCGATATTTTGGCTTGAGTTTAGAAGGTAGATTTCTTTCTTTTTTCACTCTTGTTTGTGTGTGCTTGAACTATGTGGCCCAGCCCTAAAATCTCTAGTAACTGAGAATGACTGACCTTGTGATATTCCTGTCTACCTTCTGAGTGCTGAGATTACAGGATGCACGTACACACCTGGTCTTTGCCACTGTGTGCATGCTAGGCACACTTTCTACCGAGTGAAAAACCAGCTCATATAATAACCTAATTGGTAGGATGTGATAAGATAGTCTCGAGGCACAATCAATAAAACTTGATCAATTAGATCTTGTTAGGGAAGGATTTAAGAGTAAATCATAGGTGGATCTCAAGTTTATGTGACAGACTGACTGTGAAAGTGATGGAATTTAGAAAGAACAGAACATAGTGTTAGGAAAACAGGACCTGTAATCTTAACCTCTTCTGCCCATCACACTACCAACCTCTAGGTAGAGTGGTTAGTAGTCATCAGAGGCAGGCCAGAGAGTCGGTTCAGCTGTTAAGAGCACTTGTTGCTCTTGAAATAAGACCCAATATACGGTAGCTTACAGACTGTAACTTCAGTCCCAAGGGATCCAAAGCCCTTTCCTGACCTCTCTAGGAACCAGGAATACATGCGGTGCACATACATACATGTAGGCAAAACACTCATAACACGTAATAAAATGGATAAATCTTTTTGGTTTTGTTTCATATGTTGAGACTGGTTCTCTCTATGTAGTCCTAACTCACTGTATTGACCAGGCTGACCTCAAACTCAAGGATTCACCTTGATCCTGAGTGCTAGGATTAAAGGCATGTGCCACCACACCCAACCAAATGAATAAATCTTAAAAAAAAAAAATAGTGTCTGGGCAAAAGTTAGTTTTAGTGAAAGTAGAAATTATGAATTGTTGAATTTAGCAGTCAGGAAAATAATAGGCTACTTTAGTGGGAACTGTTCTATTGAAGGTTGAAATGGAAGGAAGATTGGAGTGATTTAAGCAGGTACTAATTTCAAATAAAAGTATGAGACTAAGATTATGTCTGTAGGGTTAAGGACCTGAGTTCAATCCCCTGGAACCATGTGAAGTATTGTACATGGGGAGGTGTGCTTGTAATCCCAGCCTTGAGGAGGCCTAGCCATGGATCGAGGCAGATCCTAGGGCTTCCTGGACATAATCAGTAAGTGTCAGGCCAGTGAGATACTTTGCCCCTAAAAACAAAATGGATGTTTTGTGGAGGAAACTTACCAGGGGTTTACACCCAGGCTAACACTCAGGGTTGTTCTCTGGCCTACACAGAAGCACACATGCCTCCATCTTTCCATCTTCAGTGAGATTTCAGTGTGAAAGTCAGGACAGCAAGCAGCCGTTAGTTCTACCCTTCCACCATGTGAAAGGGTCTTGGGGATTGAACTCAGGTCAGCAGACTTGGTAGCCAGTGCCTTCACCCACTGAGCCCTCTCACTGGCCCTTACATTCTTGATTAGATTTTGTTGATTTTTTTTTTTTTTTAAAGATTTATTTATTTATTATGTATACAGAAGAGGGCGCCAGATCTCATTACAGATGGTTGTGAGCCACCATGTGGTTGCTGGGAATTGAACTCAGGACCTCTGGAAGAGCAGGCAGTGCTCTTAACCTCTGAGCCATCTCTCTAGCCCCAGATTTTGTTGATTTAGTGTGGTCTGAGTGCACACGTTCCATGACACACAACACATGTGGAAGTCAGGACAGTTGCGGGGAGTTGGTTCTCTTCATATCATTCGGATCCTGGGAATTAAACTCAGGTTAAACTGTGACTTTCCTCATGTTCTCTTCCCTTGCAAAGGGATTTGATTCTAGCCGTGCTTGCCTCCTTTTCATGACTAAAAGTAATGACTGTTGGGATTTAGTCTGAGTCAGTGTTGTGAAGATTGTTTTAATTCATGATGAGAACACTTGATACACACTCTATGATGTGTTTTATTCTCCTGTTACATTTGTTTAGCAGCTGGCATTACCTTGAATTAAGAGGCATATTTTTTGTTTAAAATGTATTACTTTAAATTTTTTTCATAAGAGCTGGGCTAGATGGCCCAGTGGTTAAAGTGCTTTCTTGCTGCTTATGCAAAGGACTGAAGTTCTCTTTCAGGATCCACAGCTATTATATAACTCCAGCTCCAGGATCTGATGGCTTCTGAGAGCACACTCAGGTGTGTGCTCATACTAACATATAGGTAGAAAAATAAAATAAATCCCTTAAGTTAGAGCAAGTTTGATGGGCTCATAGCTTTAATCCCTGCTCTGTAGAGTATGGGCTTCTAAATTCCAGGCCAGCCAGGGCTACGTAGTTAAACTTCATCTCAACAGAAAAACATAGTATCTCCATAAATTAAACATCATTCCTTTCTATTTGTGTGCAGGGAACTCACAATTAAATTCAGTTTCAGGTTAATCAGTGTATTTGTGCCTTCTACTAAATTTATGGTAGGGAATTTCAACTTTCATCCTGTTTAAACCTGAGGGTACAGTTGGACAAAGATGCTCTACCACGCCCAGTAGCCTGATTCCACCCCAGCACCCATGTGGTGAAAGGAAGGGGACTGAAAGCCTGCCTCTGAGCACACCACTCACCATACAAACACAAAGTAATTCATGTTTTAAAATGTAAAACCAAACGTGAGGGCAGCACAAGACTCTGGGTCCAGTTGTACTTTGGATATGAAGGAAATGAGGTTATTTTAATTCATAATTTAGAAAATGTGCTTTTAGAGTGCTAGTAAATAGCACAACTGAAGTTGAAATTGAAAGTTTCATATGTAAGAAAGAAGGTTCTAGTACCAAAAAGTTTTCCACTGGGAGTCAAGAAGCATGAATGCTGGGGTTGGGGATTTACCCTGGGTTAGGTCCTCAGCTCCAGGGACAACAACAACAAAGAAGCATGAATGCTGGGATTCTACTCACATCCGGCTTGCTCAAGCTAATTCAGTCATGTACAGCATTGCTTTCCTATGTTTCATACATGGAAGAGAAAATAGGACTGTATTTCTGCTTAAGCTGCTATAGAATTTTACTTCTATAATGCCATAATGTCACTACTCTGAATTTAAACTTAAAAGTGCAAATTGTAATACATTGTAATCTTGTATCAGGGAGTTTTATGTAGAATAGTTGGCTTAGACAGAAGTTGTTCAGGACAAGTAAGCTAAGACCTCACCAGTTCTTCTGTAATAGAATTTTAAACTTTGCTTCTTTCTAGTAGTTGTCAGTGTCCTTAAAATAAAAACATTGTTGCTTGTTTTTGTTTATTTTGAGACTAGGTCTCACTATATAGCCCTGGCTGGCCCAGACCTCACTGCATAGATCAGACTATTTGCCTCCTAAGTACAGGATTAAAGGCATGTACTACAATGCTGAACTTGTATTGTTTTGTTGGCTGGCTGGTTTAGGTTTGGGTTCAAGATACTGTTTTTAATAATGCATGTGTGCGTGCGTGCGAGTGTTTCTGCAGGAAGTATTGGATCTCTCCTGGGCTGGACTGCCCAGTGTGGGTGCCAAGAGCTGGAACTCTGCCTTTGCCTCTGTAAGAGCAGTTCATACTCTTAACTGCTGAGCATGATACAGCCCTTGTTTTGTTCTAATACTGTTTTGGTTGCAAAGTAAGATGTAACCTCATCTTAATTGCCTTAAACACTTGTTTTTTAATTTGTCCCTTTTTTCCCCCTTTTGTGGTTCTAGGAACCAAAACCTAAGGCCTTGTGCATATAAGGCAAGTGATCTACTGCTAGGCTACTTAAAACCCTCCGCTCTCCTTCCTAAGTGCTAGAGTAGGCATGCGCCACCATACTCGGTTTTAGTTGGTACTTTTTCTAGGGTTTGTTGTTGTTATGGTCTGAAATGGTGTGTATTTGTACTGGAGATTGGACTCAAGGGCCTTGCTCTACATGCTCTTGTCTGTTATAGAACTACACCCTTACCCTTAGGGAGACTTTTGGTAACAGAGGGGTTATACACCTAACAGGTAGGCTGACCACTGTCAAGTTAATAAAAGGGAATTTCCCCATCTTAAGAATTTCTCCTGATTTGGTAGTAATTGTTTCTTTTGCTTTGCACAGACTCAAATCCAGTACCTCAAGCAAGTCCAGCAGCCGAGTGTTGCCCAACTGCGATCAACAATGGTAGACCCAGCGATCAACTTGTTTTTCCTAAAAATGAAAGGTGAACTGGAACAGACTAAAGACAAACTGGAACAAGCCCAAAATGAACTGAGTGCCTGGAAGTTTACGCCTGATAGGTAAACAAATCATACTCCCCAGTCAAGACTTCCCTGACAGTCCCACCTCGAGAAAGCTGTGGTGGGACAGCCAAGTACTCGTTTCCACACCAAGACTCAGACTTTTTTTGAGCCAAAAAAGCCACATTCTTATACTGTCCAGCTTGTAATGGTTAATGTAAAACTTACCAGATGAACCTTGTGTTTCAGCTTTTCTCTTCCCCTTCCCCTTGCTTCAGAGGCCTGATGCCGTCGGACTATTCCGAAGAAGAGGCCACCTCCGAAAAATTCCCCTTCTAGAACATGTAGACACTTGAGAAATGTTTCTGTTTGAAGAAAATAGAGGGGAAAACAGAAGTCTTAAGTCTGTGGCACACTGTGTCTTCAGACAGTTTGGAGGTTTTAAATCATGAATTGAACATGTAAAATTCCAGTAAAATGTAAAAGTGGAATATGCATCGCTCTTAACCTTGAGCATAGTGACTTAGAGACACTGTACATCAGTTATGCCAATAAGACTGTGGACTTCATGATCGTTGAACTACTGGGTCAAAACTCCAATGAGGAGAATTTTGCCTTTAAAGGGTTTACATGCTAAGAACCAACTAATAAGCTGTGAGACAATCAAGTCATAACTACCAGTACAGGTAGTGCATATATTTATCCATTAGCTCTGAGCTCTCTATTACATAATGGAGCCTTAAATCTATGTGGTTTCTATCAATGGTTTGTTCTTTGAATGGTCGTGGAAACTGTAGATAACCTTAACGGAGGACTGTACAAACGTGAAGGTGTGGTCTCACACTTCAGGTTTCAAGTGTTTGAAGCATTCTGAGTATGCATTTCACAACTAGATTGTATAAGGTATTAGCCGTGAAGAGACTCCCGTTACTCAGTAAACCCTCATTTCACTCAGCAGGCACATGCTGAACAGCATTGTCGTTGGTGTTAAATGGGGGAATGTGTTCCTTCATTGTATTTGGGCCTTTTGTATCGAATTCTTGATATTAAATTAAATGTGCCTTGAAATAGTTGGGTTTTTTTTTTTTAATTCAAGGAATACTCTGATAATTTTGTTGTACTCTTTAATATTTTACTTTGGGGGGGGCTGTGGAGAGCAGATCAACACTTTGGAAAAATTATTCTGTGCTCTTCAAGGTGAAGGAAAAGGCTGTCTCGTTTAAAAGACTTTATTCCAGGTGGTATAAAAGACAAGGAGACTTGGCATTTGGCCCCAGGATATTGCAGTAGAACATAATGTGGGACAGTCTCACAAGGTTCCTGCCAGAAGATTGGGGAAATAATGTGTTGGAACTCTGGGCTGGCCCAAGTGAGACTTGGTGTGAATTGGAAAAAGGTATAGTGATCATTCTAGCAGACTCACTTGCTCATTTAGATAAACGAGGCATTATATTCTTCATGCTTCCATCCAAGCCTGGAGGTGAATTTTTTTTCGTCTATAAGTCACCAGTTTGAATTTTCGCTTGGTGATAATGGAGTCTGAGATGAGTAGAAGATAAATGTTCCAGCTTGTCCCAACGTTTAAGTGCAGTTTTAACAAGGGTGACTTAAGTTCTCTTAATCGTTCAAATCAATTGTAAGTATCTTATATGTTTGCTTTAGGGAACTGATTGTGGGGCAGGGGTGGGTCGGAGGAGTGATTTGTATAACTTTACAGGAACAAGTTTGCTTCTAAAATTGTCATGGGGTTTGGAGGGTAAGTAACCAATCTGTTTAAAAGTAGTTTACTGTGACCAATTGGATCTTTTGTATTTATTTTATGCATTTTCAGATCACAATAGAAAAAGCCCTGAGTATATTTTTAGTAGGTTAAGTAGTAATCTGTAAAATGTGTTACTAACATGTGTTCACACTTAGCTAGTCTTTCTTTGCTACTTGGATACAGTAACTTTGAGGCCTGTGGGCCTGCTTCCTTGTTGTAACTTCTCTCTTCATAAGACAATGCCTGCTCGGTATACACTTGAGGAAGGAGGGACGGAAAGTGTCACTCCTGGGCCTGTGTCAGCCTGGCCCATTCTGCTCTGCAGGACCAGTTACTGCTGTCAAATAGCTTGGGTATCATCAAGATAATATGTGCATATGCAATGATTTTATGTATATTGGTTTTAAAGAAATGTAATCATACCGTACGAGCATATACTTCAAAGCGTTATTTTTTCCCTCCATTTTTATCTCTTGGGTATGTTTAAGCATATCTAAATTACTACCTTTTGAATGGTTACTTGGTATTTCTTTTTATTAGTTAATCTTATTTTAACAACCCATAAATGGGGTTTTATTATAAAATTAAATCATAAGCCAGAATAAATCAAGTATTAAAAATACATTGTTAATTTGAAAATAAGTAGTGATTAATCAGTAATCGGTGTGGAATGATTCAGGTGACTGGGTTTTGGGTTTTCTTGTATGTGTATATGGTATTTCCCCTCTGTTTCAGTTCCAATTTTGAGGGATAAAGATTTTAGCTGGGTGTGGTAACTCATGCCTTCAATCCCAGCATTGGTGAGGTTGATGCAGGAGAATGGGGAATTCAGGGAGTACATTCATATATTCTGTCTCAAAAAGTGAACAGAAGAGCTAATGAGAGGTGGACTGTGATTCTCTCTGTAATACTGTCTGTTTTAAACTATCTCATTTGACAAGACATTCATCAGAGTGTTAGGAATATATTGGTATCTTCAGTTTACACTTAGTCATTTAGGCAATTATATGTACATCTCCACAAAATAACCTGGCTTTCTTCCCTTGATAATGAAAACAATATATGATGTCCCTTCTTTTTTGTAAGTCTGTAAGTATTTCCTGTTAAGATCTTTGGGAGTTTTGGTTTTTGGTTTTTTTTTTGTTTTTTTATTGGCTTTTTGAAATAGGGTTTCTCTGTGCAGTTTTGGTGCCTGTCCTGGAGCTCGCTCTGTAGATCAGGCTGGCCTCGAACTCACAGAGATCTGCCTGGCTCTGCCTCCCAAGTGCTGGGATTAAAGGCGTGCACCACCATTGCCAGAGACTTTTTTTTTTAAGGTGTTATAGAGATGGCCCAGTGGTTAAGAGCACTGGCTTCTCTTCCAGAGGAACCAGGTTCAATTTCCACCTCCTACATGGAAGCTTATAGTCATCTAAAACTGCAGTTCAGAGGATCTAATATACTTCCCTCACACACAGACTTACATGCAGGCAAAACACCCATACATATGAGAAGACAACAAAAATGTTTTTAAGAAAGATGCTAAGGCATTTGTTTTTAAAGATTTTTTTTTTACGTGTGTATGAGTGATTTGTCTGCATTTCTGTCTGTGCACCACATGCATGTAGCGGCCAGAAGAGGGTGTCAGATCCCTTGGAATTGGAGTTAGAGAAGGTTGGGAGCCACCATGTATATGGTAAGAATCAAACCTGCGTCCTCAGGAAAAGCAGCCAAGTGCTCTTAAATGCTGCGCTAACTTTCCAGCCCCCCATTTTTAAAAAATTAAATGAGAGGAGTGATCTCTGCTTTTCTTTTCCAAATATTCACTTGTAATTAAGTTCTCTCTATTTATCTTGTGGTGCTGAGGATTGAGCCTAGGGCTTTGACCATGCTAGATAAGCACTTTATAATTAAGCTGTGTCCTCAGCCTTTTCTTTGGTAGCGAGTACTAAGGATTGAACCCAAGCCTTAATGCTAAAATCAGAGTACACTCCCAGCCCCACACCATGTATGGAGTGTGTTTATGTGTGTTGTGATGACCACAGACACCAATTTTAATCAGCATAGTTACTAACATAAAATTGAAGCAGTTTTAAGGTGTTTTAGTTAAGAATAAGTTTAGAGGTGATTCTTAAGACAGGGTTTCTCCGTATGGCCAACAATGGCCTAGAACTAGCTTCAGCTTACACTAGAACTTCATCAGCTTCCTAATCATTCATCCATGGGGTAGTTAAACTGTGTTAAGCATTTTTAAATATTTTACTGTAAAATTCTTTATGTCTCTGGGGTCAAGTGACCAATTAATGTATTTTATAATTGTTTTTTTTCCCCTTAATCTTTATTAATTTACAGGAAAGTAGAACTTTCTGGTGGAAAATTTTGATGCATATGATTTGCAAGAAACAGCTGGCTAGATGTGGTGGCACATGTCTTTAATCCAGTGCTTGGGAGACAGAAGTGTGCAGATTCTGTGAGTTTGAGGACAGTCAGGTCTCATAGTTCTAGGTTAGCAAGACTGGGTCTCTCGGTGTAGCCCTGGCTGTCCTGTGGAACTCGCTCTGTAGACCATGCTTACCTCGAACTCATAGATCCTCTTGCCTCTGGTGGGATTAAAGGCAGACACCACCATGCCCAGCTAGACCCTATCTCAAAAAAGAGAAAGAAACAAAGTTATTGTTATATGGGCAGCCAAATAGAAGGAAGGAGATCATTGTCTTACAGTGGTGTCCACATCTGGAGGTTAAACTCTGAGGAGGCTGATAGGAAGTGGAGGGAATCAGGAGCTACTGTAGCAGTGAAGGGAATGTGTTAAACAAATGGAACTCTTACTGTGTGCGCTCAGAGCTTGTACCTTGGTTCCTTTGAACAACAGTAACCTGTTTTTTAATGTTCCACAAATATCTGTAAGGAAATTTTAACTACAATTTTTTGTTGTTGTTGAACTGTATTATAATAACATAAGCTATAAGTTAAGGAAATCTGCAACATTCCTAGTAACAGAGTTCTTTCTCTACAAAGCAATACTGTTGCTAGGGCTCTGGTGTCTGCTAGGATCAGATGGATTCTGTATATCTGGCAAGTGCAAATCCCATTAGAAATAGGAAGAACAGTACAGTACAGAAGTGTTCTTATCCAGTGAGATCATTCCAGACTTAATCCAATGAGAAGAATGTGAAAGTGTCCATATGCACATCTCAAAGTCAGTATCACAATTGTGAATTAAAGCCAAATACCTTTGAAGTTAATACTTTTCTGCTGTTATTACTAAGGCTAAAAGCAGTGAAGTTTTATTGGATTGTTACTTGTTTTATTACTCTGTTGGTTCTCTGTATGAGTTGAATAGTGTAGGGCACTATTATTTGAAAATTAAAATGTTCAAAAGTATAATGTTCCTGATCTGACAGATAATTTGAGGTTTGGAAAATAATCCTGGATCTTTGTGACTTGGGAATATACAGTCTTAATCCAGTATTAAAATGCTCATCAGGCATAGTGGCTCACACCTGTAATCCTAGTACTTAAGATGTAGGAGGATTACAATTTCAAGGTCATCCTCTACACATAACAAAAAAACCCAAATTTATGTCCCAGTTAAGTTAAATAAGGAATTAATGGATTTCTATTTGGCAAGTCTTTTAAAAGCTATATTCTTGTATCGAAGATACTTGTACCAGAGAACTACCTATTAAAAGGAATCCTTTATGTGTGTTTATTAGTAAGAATATATTCTCATTCTTTTACAGGTATTTTATGGGTGGTAAAGGGGCATACATTTATAATTGATTCTATACATATTTTTTAAAGAACTTTTGTTTGATAAAGCTTAGTACCTTAGTATTACATTAACAGTATATCCAAGGTATATGTTAAATGGCCTGCTTATACTTCAAATGATAATGTAGCTTGCAAACCTTGATCCAGTAGAAACAAAAAGTGGCTATGGCTACTTGGCACTTTTGTTTAAGGTTTATTTTTGCTGCTCTGTTGGTAACTACCGAAGTGCAGAAGATGGACATGTTCCAGAAAAGAAGATGGTAATTACAGGGTGGCATCTGCTGTGACACAGTTATGTTCTGTACATCTGCTGTAACGGTTGTGAGCAAAGGCTGTAGAGAGCTTTCTCCTTCATTTTGTGATGATTGGCTCTTTCCTTTGCAGCCAAACAGGCAAAAAGTTAATGGCGAAGTGTCGAATGCTTATCCAGGAGAACCAAGAGCTTGGAAGGCAGCTGTCCCAGGGCCGTATTGCACAGCTTGAAGCAGAGTTGGCTTTACAGAAGAAATATAGTGAGGAGCTTAAAAGCAGTCAGGATGGTAAGGGGGTTTGTTGTTTAAAGTTTGCTCACCTTTGCACTGGCAGTAAAGGCCGCCAGGCTCGCGGTAGATAAGTTTCTGTGCATGTTCTGGCTACATAAAATTGTGCATGCAACACCTACCATTGACTCCTAGAACAAAGCCATTTACTTAAGTTAGAATATTCCCCAAGGTACTGATAGCACATTGAGAAATTTTTGTGAGTTTTTGTTTGTAATAAAAGGTGTTTTGTTTAATTTCTCTTAAATATGAATCTTGGAAACACTTGGCAGTTTTTGTGGTTAAAAAGTAACATAATTATATTTCCTTAAGGTCCTCTTCAGTGAAAAGGAGAGTCACTATTTAAATTTGCTGAGACAAACCAAATGTAATTGTTACCATAGTCCTTTTTTTGTTCAAGCATAGCTGCGGGGTTTTTTTTGTTCGTTTGTTGTTTGTTTGTTTTTTTTTTTTCTTGTTTTGTGAAGTGAATTAATAGTAAGAAATAGAGCCCCACTGTGAACATGTAAACTGAGAATCAGTTATTTGATGGTTGGTTGCAAAGAAAGTTGGTAGGTAATACTGTCATTCTTAGCTTTCACTATGTGTAAACATGGTAAGTGGGAGATGTTATATAGCAACTGAGAGGCTGTTTTTCTTAAAGCCTTTTTAGAAAGTTAATGGACTTGTATATTTTAGCAATCTCCAGGTATTTCTTAGGGGATTTTGTTCTTGTGTGTGGATCAGACTTCTTTGGGGGATAAAGAACCAACATGTCCTGAGAGCTGGACCAGCTGTAGATTTAATTGAAGGCACTAGCTGAGGGTGAAGAGAAGGGACCCTCCGGTCAATGCAGATAAGATTTTATAGGCTATTGTCAGTTGTATGAGGCAGGATGGTTGGAATCTTTTTTTTTAATATTTATGTATTTTACGTATGAGTGCTCTACTTGCATGTATTTCTGTATCACAGAAGAGGGCATCTGATCCTATTATAGGTGAGCGACCATGTGGGTGCTGGGAATTGAACTCAAGACCTCTAGAAGAGCAACCAGTGCTCTTTACTGCTGAGCCATCTCTCCAGCCCAGTTGGAATCAATTTTAACTTGGTTACTTTAATATTTAAAGCCTCCAGCTACCCTCCAAACTCATTCTTAAATGGTGATTAAAATTCCAGGTAAATTTTTTAGGTATGCTGTTCCAGTTTTAGAATAGTATTTATTCTCTTGGTAAGCATTTATTGACTGCTTTGTTGCTGGCACTTAATATTTGAGGGGTTGGAGAAGGAGCTCAGTAGGCATAGCACTTGCCTTGCAAGTATGAGGACCTGAGTTTGGATCCTAGCACCCCAATAAAAAGCTAGGTATGGAGCTAGTGGTGGTCTGTCACTCCTGTGTGGAAGGTGAATTTTGGGGTTTGGTGGTCAGCTCGTCTAGCCAAAATGGCAAGCTCCAGGTTCAGGGAGAGGTAGAAAGCTATAGAAGAAAGACACCTTATATTGACCTCTGGCCTCTCATACACACATGCACAGGTGAGTGCATGTGTATACACATAACAAATGTTTTAAAATATGTTAAGATATTAAAGTAGGTTTGACTCTTCTTTGCACAGAACTGAATGACTTCATCATTCAACTGGATGAAGAGGTAGAGGGTATGCAGAGCACCATTCTAGTTCTTCAGCAACAGTTGAAGGAGACACGACAGCAGTTGGCGCAGTACCAGCAGCAGCAGTCTCAAGCTTCAGCCCCAAGTACCAGCAGGACTACATCTTCTGAACCTGTAGATCAGGCAGAGGCCACAAGCAAAGACTGCAGTCGTCTGGCAAATGGACCAAGTAATGGCAGCTCCTCCCGCCAGCGGACGTCTGGGTCTGGATTTCACAGGGAGGGGAACACAACTGAGGATGACTTTCCTCCTTCTTCAGGGAATGGTAATAAGGCCTCCGACAGCTCAGAGGAGAGAACTGGCAGAGGAGGGAGTAGTTACATAAACCCACTCAGTGCGGGGTATGAAAGTGTAGACTCTCCCACGGGCAGTGAAAACTCTCTCACACATCACTCAAATGACACAGACTCCAGTCATGACCCTCAAGAGGAGAAAGCAGTGAGTGGGAAAGGTAATCGAACTGTGGGTTCCCGCCACATTCAGAATGGCTTGGACTCAAGTGTAAATGTACAGGGTTCAGTTTTGTAATATTTTTTCCAGCAAATTTTTATACAGTGTCATTTAATTTGGGAGAGGATGCTGTCAAAAATTAATGCATACTTTTGTCACGATTTGCCTTTTTGTGGGTGTGTTTTTTGTTTGGTTCCCTTTTTTGTTTTGTTTTTCTTTTTTATTGCTTCAATACCTCTGCCACTTTGAAAATCGTAACAGTTAATTACTTTGAACGTTGCTAAAAGAACATTTTGTGTAGGGTCAAGTTATTTTTATATGAGTTAATGTGAAGTTGTAAATGGGAATCTATAACGATGATGTCTGTATAAATCTGTGTCTATCTAGAACCTGTGCTGTGTAAGGGCATTCTTCCTCATGCTGTTATATACTTATGCACCATTCAGACTTGTTAGAGTAGATGTGGGTTTATGACTGCCAAGGTTGCCCAGTACAGTAGTTTTTATCACTAAAAAGTTGGACTTGGAGTCCTATAGTAGTTTCAGTGTTAGATAAAGTTTTTCCACCATACATCTGTGCATTCATCTTTAGGCGACTGAATGTTTAAGAAATCTGTGTGCATAGTTACTAAGTTTTTATGAACTGTTGTGTCTTGTTAATGCATATTGCCCTGTGACTCCAGTATATCTCACTTGTACTGACCAAACCTAAATAAAAAAAATTTTATTATGACTCCTCTATTCGTTTTTTTTTTTTTTTTTCCTTTTCTTTTGGGTGTGTATAGCAGTTACTATTTATTTTCACTGAACTGCTAAATTCCCGCTACCCTGTAACATATACAAAGGTCAGATTAAAACAGTCCATGCATTATGTCTGACTGTGCATACCTAATTTTTAATTTGCACTTTTCTTTTGCAGAATGAAGTAGGAGTTTATGACTGCAGTTCATGGTTTTGCTTTTTTTCCCTTGACAGAAAAATCTCATTTAAAAACATTTTTAATTTTTATGTTTCAGTTGAAGAGCAGTTTATTGATCTGATTTCAGGGAATCGGTGTATCTTTAGTCAGGGATGTTTGTTTTAAAGCACTGACCAAGTAATGGTTTTTCCTAAACAGCTTGCTTGCACAGATTATAAGGAAGTGTATGGTGTGAAGATGGGAAAAGTGTTGTGAAAGGTTGTTATAGTTTGTCTCACTGTTGATATAGTTAGTAATACTAACTTGCTTTGGCACCTACTAAAAAATTAGTAATACTAAGTATTGAGGTCTTAAGGTCTCTAGATTACAACTTTTCATAGATGGTTATGATGAAACATTTCTTCTAAGAACAACAGGATTCTTAGTTAACTTATTATCAAGGAACTGTAGAAGTGAAGTTGTAACAGTTGAAACTAAGATACTTCTTTGAAAAGAACTGTTGTATTTTTGCTTGCCTGGCTGGTAAATAATCTATGGTCTTGGCTTCAGAGGCACTGTGCTGGGTGGTGGTAGCGCGCCTTTAATCCCAGCATTCAAGAGGCAGAGGCAGGAGGCAGGTGGATCTCTGAGTTAAAGGCCAGTCTGATCTACAGAGTGAATTCCAGGACAGTCAGGATACAGATTAACCCTGTCTCAATTAAAAAAACAAAAACAGAAAAACCCTGCACTGTCTTAAGCTTTTGTGCAGTCCTAAGTGAATAAAGCCTATATGATTTTAAATAAATTTGTATATAATTAACCAGTTTGATGTATGTTAAAAGACTCCTTTGATCTCTAGGCGGTGGTGGCACACGCCTTTAATCCCATCACTCAGAAGGCAGAGCCAGGTGGATCTCTGTGAGTTCAGAGGCCAGCCTGGTCTACAGAGCGAGATCCAGAACAGGCACCAAAACTACACAGAGAAACCCTGTCTTGAAAAAACCAAAAAAAAAAAAAAAAAACCTCCCTTGATTTATGAATTACTATTGGGCTTTAGCTACATATATATATCCTTTTACCCAATTTACACAAAAATATAACTTTTTCTATCCTATTGGTATCTAATAATCAGTGTGCAAAAGGAAATTGTTCAACAGCAGTGTAACTGACTAAATTTAATATAGGCTTAATGTCAAAATAGATTTCACATTTCTGTTAATTCTGCTTGGTAAGTAACTTAGGATTTATGGTTGCATGTGAAGTCAGCAGTCCTCATTTCTGGAATTGGATGCCTCATTTGCTGGGAAAAGGTGATGGACCCTATTCAGGTGAAGTGGTTTAGGACAGTAGTAAAGTTGAGTCCTGGCATTACTGGTAATCTTGTCATATGACTAGAGCCCTGCTCCATAAAAGGTCATTAACTGAGTTGGTAGAAGTGAAGTACTGTTTTGAGCTCAGGTTGGGTGTCAGCAACATTTATTTCTCACAATTCTGGAGGCTGGGATTTGTGAGGTGAATGTGATGTGCTGGCTGATTTGGTTCCTAGTGAGGACCTCAGATGTATCTCCAGAAGGTAGAGACGTCATTTCACTTCTCAGCCTGTGTGGGAGGGTTCAGTCATTGTAATCCAAAGGTCTCACCTCTCATCAGTGGGAAATAGTTTCAGCATACAGTCAGGGTGTAAGGGATACATCATCAGTGTGCAGCAAGTGCCAAGCACACAGTGACTGCTCAGTAAATGTCAGCCACTGTTAAATCTTGAAGTCTCCGTCCTGGTGACAGACCACCTCTTTGTCAAGCTACTACTCAAGTAGAAGTAGAAGTCTGGTTTGGGTTTTGTTTTCCCCGAGACAAGGGGTTTTCTGTGTAGCCCTAGCTGTCCTGGAACTCTGTAGACTAGGATGGCCTCGAACTCAACAGAGATCTGCCTGTTTCTGCCACCCGAGTCTTGGGATTAAAGGCCTACACCACCACCACCCAGCCAAGTACAAGTTTTTACTTGATAATTTACCAAATAAATTTGAAAAGTAGTTTCTTCTGGTATTACAGGGCCTTGAAGTTCCATTAAAAGAAAGCTGTTGCCTCCTAGCCAGAAGATGAGAATCTACCTGTGTGGAGACATACCATTATCCTCTCCCTTAGGAGTTAATACAGTTGGGCAGGTCAGTCACCTGGCTAAGGGACCACTGCTCAGGAAGGCAGATCCACCTTCAGGCATGCTAAGGAATAATTATACCTTTAATGAGATAATGTAGTCTTCCTTCCTAGAAGTTTGCTCTAGAGCAGTCAGCTTACAGAGCCACAGCCAGGCAGCTTCCTTAACTGGTTTGTTATCTGAATTACAGTGGTTTTTACTTCTTTCCCTGGTCTAAGTATGCCTTGCTCTCTCTGAAGCCCCCTACCTCCCTTTAAGAAAAAGATTTGTGAGTTCAAGTCTAGCTTGGTCTACAAAGCAAGTTCCAGGACAGCCAGAGCTGTTGCAGAGAAACGCTGTCTCGGGTTGGGGGGGGGGGGTTATTTTATGTGAAGTGTTTTTATGTAGGTGTGTGTATCATGGGTGTGCCTAATATATGCTGAGGTCAAGCGGCCATCAGATCCCCTGGAACTGGAGGTTACAGGCAATTGTGAGCTTCCTGCCATATGGGTGCTGGGAACCAGGTCCTCTGTAAGAGCAAGTGCTCTTAACAGATGTGCCATCTCCTCAGCCCCCAGACTCATTTTTGCCATGTAGGAGCTTGTCCACCACATGGCTGCCCACCATGGCTAACTCAAATGATACTGCTTTCTCTTCCTCGTCTCCCAACCTGTGCAACTGCAGCACTTTGTCATTGTCCTCATAAAATGTGGTAATGACACCTTCAATACTTGGTAACACTGAGGCTGCCCTTTAGAGAACTATCATTGAATGTCCCTTGATAATATCCACTCCAAAGTTGGCAGGCCACCTTCATGTTTTCCTGCCTGTGTTCGCCCTTCTGAATAAAAGGAAGAAACAATACAAACCTGAGTGGGGAGGACAGTCTTGGAGGTTGCTATGCCAAAATTTGGAGACTGGAGCTGGGGGTGATCAACGTGATGGCTATGCAGTAACTGAAAGAATGCATGATATAAAAGTATGGAGTTAAAAATGGCAGGCTAAGACAACAAGCTTGGTTAAGTACACAGTCCTTGGAAGCAATTTGAGGGCAGGGGTGTGGCTTATTGGTGGAGTGCTTGCCTTGCATGGTCAGAGCCCAGGTTATCCCTAGCATGGCCAGAAAAGGTCTATGGACAAAAGGAATTAAAAGCAGTAGAAATCTAACATCGGAAGGCAGTTGTCATTCGCAGTTTGGTGAATGAACAGTTGGTCGTGGTGGTTGTCTGCTGTTGTCTAATCAAAACACTTGGAGTCGGCTGAAGCAGGACTGAGAATTCAGGCCAACCTGAAGCTACTTTCTCAGAGTGAATGCTGGGAAGACAAATGTGAACATGTACAAAAGTGCTTATTAAAGAGACTTCAACACATGAACTTGTCCCCTCAACTGTAATATGGCTTTTTGTAAAAATAATATTCACAAAACAGCATTTTTCTGATAACTAGACTCCTGCAACTATTCGTGAAACAACCCTAGAATGACTGCAAGACCCCTTCAGGACAAGCAGTTCGTAACACTGTTAAAAATCTTCTTTTTTTCTTCTGCTAGCCTAGCAGCACAAGAATCTAGGTGTTAAACTATTCCAGGGCCTGGAAAGAAGACTCAACAGTGGAAAGCACTGACTGCTCTTGCAGAGAACTTGGGTTCAGGATCTAGCATCCATAAGGTGGCTCACAACCATCTAGAACTCCAGTTCTAGGGGATCTGACTCCCCTCTGGCTTCCACAGGCTCCTGCACACATTGGGTGCATACACATACACAACACAAATATTTAAGGAAAAAAAAAAAAAAAACGCTGGGCATGATGTGCATGCCTTTAATCCCAGCATTTAGGAGGCAGAAGCAGGCAAATCTCTGTGAGTCTGAAGCCAGCCTGGTCTACAAAAGTGAGTTCCAGGACACCCAGAGCTACACAGAGAAACCTTGTTTTGAAAGACAGCACCAGCAAAACTATTCTAGCTCTCTGCCTCCTGCGGGGATTAAGATGTGACCAGCTGCTTCCTTCTACTGCCATGTTTCCTTTGCCTGCCGCCGTGCCTTGCCATGATAAACTATCCCTTTGGAACTGTAAACCAAAATAATAAATGATTCCTTCCTAGGAAAAATAAAAAGAAACTACTATTCTTTTCTCCATTCATTATTTTTAGCTTGCATCTGGCCCATGCATGGCTCTTAGTAGACGATTGTAAGGAGCTGTAATGAAGACTTCACAGTGTTGCTCTGTTCATTCAACAAAAGCAGTTAGCTTCTTGAGATCTTCTCCTCTGCATACATGCCTAGTGTCTGCAGTGGGCGGAAGAGGATGCTGGATGCCCTGGAACTGGAGTTACAGAAAGTTGTGAGGTACCATGTGGGTGCTGGGAACCAAACCCATTTCTTTGCAGGAGCAGTAAGTGGTCTTAACCACTGTGCCATCTCTCCAGCCCTCTATTTTCCCATGACTCTGGCCACTCCTTAGTCCCCTTTGTGGGCTTACTCTGACGGCCTCATACCCAATTTTGCAGCAGCTCCCCAGGAAGCACCGTGTCCACCCCATCACTTCAGTTACCACCCATGATGTTGACAGCTCTGAAATCCTTCTGTCTAACCTTGTTGTCTATGAGCAGACTGGCCCTCTCTATTTAAACTTTCTATAAAAAATACCTAATTTATCACATCTAATCCAAAGCCATTATAACTACCTCTTCAGCTTATTTCTTCTATCTGAAGACTTGGTGAATGGTATAACCTTCTCTGGAGAAGCTAGAAATCTCTTGAACTCTGCTTAGGAATTACTTCCTCCAGGAAGCCTTCCTAAACCCTACCTTTGGTGTCCCCTCAGCTCTTATACCTAATTTCATCTCTCTACTTAAACACATAATTCTTAGTTTCCAGTCTCCTCTATTATGCTCTACATAGTGTTCTTGATCCCTTCTTACACTGTTCTATTGTATATGCCTAGCACACTTTAGGCAGCAAGTCTGATGAACACTAGTATATCCCTTATGTTCTGTGCATAAGAGTAAATGGATATGAGCTAGGTGAGGGGGCACAGGCCTATAATCTGAGCATTTGTAAAACTGACAGGAGAATCAGGAGCTCAAGGGTAGACTGGGCTACATGACCCATATATATATATAAAATGGTTCTGTGGAGTTTGCTCAGTGATTAAAGCATTTGTGCAATCAAGAGGACCAGAGTTTGGGTTCTGAGAACTCATGTAAATGTTGGGTGGATGTGGAAGTCCACCTATAATTCCAGTCTCAAGGTAGAGACGGGATCCCTGGATCAAGCTGACTAGTTAGATAGGCTGCATTGGTTAGCTGTTGGTTTACTGATTGCTCATGCCTCAAAAGTAGAAGACCAGTTAAGAAAGATCTGACACCAGTTTCAGGCCTCTACACATAACACACATAAAAAGTGAGTAGGAATATATTCTTTTAGGGACAAGGTCTGTTTTCACTTGTCTCCTGCCTGGAGGCTCTACCGGGAACCAGCAGAGGAGAAGATCTCAAGAAGCTAACTGCTTTGGTTAATGAGCAGCAGCCACACTGTGAAGTCTTCATTACAGCTCCTTACAATCGTATCTGGCCATGCATGGGCCAGATACGAGCTAAAAATAATGAATGGAGAAAAGAGCAATAGTTTCCTTTGATGTTTCTCTTTTTCCTAGGAAAGAAATAATTTATTATTTGGGGGTTTGGAGAGATGGCTTAGGGGTTAAGAGCACTCACTGACTGCTCTTCCAGAGAACTGGAGTTCAATTCCTATGACCTACCAACCAGTAGGGCAGCTAACAACCTGTTCTAACTCCAGTCCCAGAAGATCCAACAACCTCTTCCGGCCTACTCGGGCACTGCATGCACAGGACACAGACATACATGCAGGCAAAACATCAATACACATAGAATAAGAATAAATACATCCTTTAAAATTGTAATGAGCACGGAGCATGGGTAAGTCCCTTAAATTCTTGGACTCGTGGGAACAGGCAGCACAATCCGAACTACTTACTACAAAGGTAAGACTTAAAGTGAGCGCTTGCAACGGGGAGGACCACTAATTCCAGACCCTAAGGATTTCTCTAGCGGGAAAGTGTTCTCTTTAGCCCCATCTCAGGCGTCTACACTTACCCATTTTATTTGACCCATCCACATCTCTCAATATCTTAATGATTTTTCAGTCTACATTTCAGGAGGAGGCCCCAGCTTACGTCAGTTTTTCCTCACAACCTGTGTGGTACCTTTCTCTTACTTCACGGTCCACTGTTCCCGCTCACTGCGAGACTCGCCTAGAAAGCCTCTCCTTTCCAGCACAGGATTCCGCTTTCCTAAATAGGTGGCATTCTCTGTGGGCCAGCAAGCTGCAGAAGCAAACCAAGATGACTCTCCTTTCCGAATACATGGGCACTGTAGATGGCCTGTGGTGGTGGTGGTGGAGCTGGGGGGTGGGGTGGGGGGTGGAGCGGACTGAGAGTGGCCAGAGGGAGTCTCCAAAAGGCACGAATGACACGAGGCAGACAGGTGAGAAGCAAGCCTAACAGAATGACTTTGGCTGCGTAAGAAGTCCGCAAGGTTTGAAAACAGCAGCCATCCATCGCCCTAAGGATCTTTCTTGGAAGCTGCCAGCGCTGAGGAGGACCTTCCAGCAGGGGCGGGACGTGCCTACCCAGGAAAGGCTAGGCTAGGCTCTCTGGAGTGGGAACCCCACCCAGGTCGACACCCCTAGACCGTTTACACCCGACCCCACCTAAGACTCCTAGACCGTCGGCACCCCACATCGCTCTCCGACACCCCTAGGCTCCCTTCGTCCAACCCAGCACCCCTGGATCGTCTACGCCCACCCTGACCCGACACACCCCGCTGCCTGGATGCCACCCCATCCCACACAACCAGAGTCTACAACCCCACCCACCTCGGGGACTTGGGCCCGCCCAGCGTGTCGCGCAGGCGCGGGGAGGCGTGGCGTGGAGGCCATAGCCCCGCCCCCAGCACGGCCAAGGAGGCTGAAGGAAGTTTTACCTCAGTCGTAGACGGCGCCTGGCTGACAGCTGGCCGGAAGCGGAGCCGCAGGATGAACGCAGGCTCGGACCCCGTGGTCATCGTCTCCGCGGCGCGGACCGCCGTAGGTGAGTGCCCCGCGGGGCCGCTTCGGCCTCCCCCGACCCGGGCGCCGAGAACCGGGCTCGCGTGACCGGGAGGGGGCGGCCGGCCGCGGATGCCACGGACCTGTGCCTCGCGCCTCGCCCGCGGCCCCGCCCCTCGCGCTGCGATTGGTTCCTGCCGTAGAACCACCGCTCTGCCAGACTCACCTATTGGCTGCCCCTGGGACGCGTTCTCTCTCCTGATCTCTGATTGGCCCGCTCTGCCAAGCGCCATCGGTCACGCTGTGGTGGTGGGGGCCGGGAGCAGGTGGTCCGAGCAAGGGGCTCGGGGCAGGCCTCGGCCTTGGCATTGTCCTGGAAGCCCCCATCGCCTTGGCCCGCCCCGGCGCCAGCCTTTTTTGTATGGAGAGCATGATGCCGCATCCTCCTCCTCCTCCCCGGTGGTCCTCCGTGTGCTCCGGGTTCAGATCCCTCTTCCCCATTCCGTTACAGGCTCCTTCAATGGTGCCCTGTCTACTGTGCCTGTCCACGACCTGGGGACCACTGTCATCAAAGAAGTCCTGCAGAGGGCCAAGGTGGCTCCAGAAGAGGTGTCCGAGGTCATATTTGGACACGTTTTGGCGGCAGGTAACTCCTCAGTAACCCCAGGAGAAGTCAGGCTCATTAGAAACAGACCATTTATTTGCACACTCTCACACACACTCGCCACCGGACATTTCTTGGCTCAGAGTTCCCTCTGCCAGGATCCTTATGTTCCCCCCCCCCCCCCCTTCCTAAGGTGATGATTCTAGACCACAGATCTGTACTGCCTTTGCATTGTTAGAAGCAAGGCCAGGCTGGTGCATAGGAGAGCATGCATAGTGCGCCACGTGCCCCGAAAATGCCACACATTTAGTAAAAGCACTGTGCCAGCAGCAGGAAGGCTGGCTGTAGCAGAACAGGTATACCCTTGTCCTCTTGTCATGAGATAGGCTGTTCCTCACTCGTGGGAGCTTCATCACTGACAGGAGAGTCTAAGAATGCCTTCACTTGACCTCTGATTCCTGCTGGGTTTGTAGACCAGTGACCACTGACCATTGCGTGCTGATAATTGATTTGGAGCCTGAAGTGTTAGTATTCAAAACCAACTTCTGGGAGCTGGAGAGATGGCTCAGAGGTTAAGAGCACTGGCTGCTCTTCCAGAGGTCCTGAGTTCAATTCCCAGCAACCACATGGTGGCTCAGAACCATCTATAATAAGATATGGTGCCTTCTTCTGGCATGTAAGCATACATCCAGGCAGAACACTGTATGCATAATAAATAAATCTTAAAAAAAAAAAAAAAAAAACTTCTGTTCTTACTCTGTCTGAAACCTTGCCCATTTGTAGGTGTGCAGGTTGAATACTCCCATGTTTGAAACACTTGGAGCCAGAATTGTTTTGATTTCAGATCCCCTCACCAGATTTTGCAATATCTGTGTGTGTGTGTATATTGAAGTATCACTGTTACCTAACTTGGTGTCACAATTGTTATCTCAAGAAGCTTAGGTTCAGTCAGTTGTCTTTTGTAAGCTAACTAGAACAGTAAAAGGGATAATAAATAGCAGAAAAGGGAGATTTATTTAATTTGGCTAAACTGGGAAGAGAGGCAAAGAGACCCAATGATCTTTCACATCTATTTTCATGGTCCAGATGTGAGATTAAACTTTAGATGGAGGGCTGGAGATCTGTACTTTTTACAGCCTGGTCAAGTTATGGCCACACCCACCAGTGACCCATCCTCTGGGTCTCTCTACAAAGTGGTCTGACAGGTTGTCAAAGTGTGTAAAATCTTTGTCCACCTCTGCCTGCTACCAGGCTTTAACTTCTTCCTTCTCCCAGCATAGGATTCCTAGGTTGTAGAGCACTTGTGTAGTACACACAAGCCACTAGGTTCAATACCTTGCATGGAAAAAAGGAAAAAATAATAATAAGTTTCATACTTTGGAGCATTTGAGATTCTTTTTTTGTTTGTTTGGTTTTTGGTTTTTTTGAGACAGGGTTTCTTTGTGTAGTTTTGGTGCCTGTCTTGGATCTCACTCTATAGACCAGGCAGTCCTTGAACTTAGAGATCTGCCTGCCTCTGCTTCCCAAGGGCTGAGATTGAAGGCATGCACCACCACCACCTGGCTCTTTCTTGAAAAAATAAAAAGTGTGTGTGTGTGTGTGTGTACTGTACATATGTGTGTGTATACATGTATATAAGTGTGTTTATATGTATGTGGTGTTTTGTCTATATGTTTGTCTATATACTGCATGCATGCCTGGTGCCCAGGGAGACCAGAAAGGGCATTAATCCCCTAGGACTATAATTACAGACCATTGTAAGCCAGACTGTTGTATGTTGGTTCTGGAAACTTGGGTCCTCTACAAGAACAATATGTGCTTTTAATCACTGAACCATCTCTCCAGCTAGCGATAACACTGTCTATGTCAGGTCTCTGTTATGGGGCTCATATTTGGCTAAGTTAGCACTATCATATTCAGTAATCATTTCTGAGCCCTAAGTACCTTGAGGATGGGAACTAGGAAAGGTGTGTGTGTGTGTGTGTGTGTGTGTGTGTGTGTGTGTGTGTGTGTGTAGTTATTTACCTAAATATTTATGTCATTTATTGTTTAAAAAACAGATACCTTATATAATAATACCTTTATTCAATAGTATCTTGTTAGTTTTGAACAAGAAGGCTTTGAACATGTGCAATCCTTGAGGCAAACTTCTTACCTTTAACTCCTGAGTCCTTGGATTACAGGCATGAGCCACTACCCTCAGTCAGAAAATTTTCTGATTCCCTGTCTGGTCTTGAACTCATAGAGATCCACCTGCCTCTAGCTCCTAAGGGCAAAAAAAAAAAGAATAATTTTATGTGTTTTTCACTTCTAGCCTAACCTCAGATTAATGACACTAATTAATACAGTTTTTAAGTTTTTGACACTGTCCCATTGGTTAGTATTTTTCCAGCAAACACACTAAGGAAATATAGGTGGAGTTTTCTGTGTCCCGGCAGCTGCTTCTAATAACCACTCAGCTACTTATTATTAATTATAAATGCTTGGCCAATAACTCAGGCTTATTACTAACTAGCTCTTACAACTTAAATTAACCCATTTCTATTAATCTTTGTGCAGCGTCAAGGCTCGTAGCTTTTACCTCTCCTGTGTGTCCTTTCTTTCCATCTGTATGGTGACTCCTCAGACTCTGCCCTTCTTCTTCCCAGCATTCTCTCTACCCCAGAAATCCTGCCTAGCCATCAGCCAATCAGCTTTTTATTAACAGTGAGAGTAATACATATTTACAGTGTATGAAGAATTGTTCCACGGCAAGGAAAGTCATAGATGCAGGTGCATCAGAACTTGCAAACTTGCACAGGGTTCACTCTTTGCCATTCATCATACAATGACATTTCAACTTAGAGCATTTCCAAGTTTTGACTCCATCCCTTCTCTGCTGCTGCTGCTGCTTTTCCTTTTTAATAAAGGAAAACATTTAATTGAGGTGGCTATGCACAGTTTCAGAGGTTTAATCCATTATCATGGCAGGACATGGCAGCCTGCAAGCAGACATGGTGCTGGAGAAGGAGCTTCTAAATCTTGATATGCAGGCAACAGGAAGTAGAAGGTCCTCTTCTCTGCTTCTTTTTTTTTTTTTTCCTGGTTTTTCAAGACAGGGTTTCTCTGTAGCTTTTCGACTTTCCTGGAACTCACTCTGTATGCCAACCTAGCCTTGAACTCAAAAGGATCCACCTGGCTCTGCCTCCCAAGCGCTGGGATTAAAGGCATGCGCCACCACCGTCTGCTGCTTCTTTTAAGGAAGTGGTTTGTTTTGTTTTTGCCAACTGAAGGATATCTCAGGTGAATTACAGACAGGCATTTGTTGGTTCTAATTTTGTTATATGGATTTAACTTTATTTTTTACTTTCTGAGAAAAGGCCTTACTATGTAGTATGGACTGGCCTGGAATTCGCTATATAGTTCAGATTACTATGAAATGACTATTTGGTTCATGCTAGTCCAAAACTTAATATGTCCCCAGACTAGCCTCAAATTAATTGTGAACATTCTGCTTCAAGTGACAAAATGCTGGGATTATAGGTGAGTTACCATACCAGCATGATTTTCTACACAGCTTTTTTTTTTTTTTTTTTTTTTTTTTTTTGGTTTTTCGAGACAGGATTTCTCTGTGTAGTTTTGCACCTTTCCTGGAATTCACTTTGTAGACCAGGCTGGCCTCCAACTCACAGAGATCCTCCTGCCTCTGCCTCCCGAGTGCTGGGATTAATGGCGTGCGCCACCACCGCCCGGCTTCTACACAGCTTTTATGCACAGAATTTCACTTTAAGTAAACCCCATTTTTGTTCTGAGTGTCGTATGCCTAGCCTCTGGGAGAGAAATGTTCTACAAGTCTGAATTACGCCTTGTGCTTACAGGCAGCAGAACTAGCTGGCTGTTACCCTTGGTCTTAACTACGTGTCTTCCCGACCAGGAGGGAAAATCTGGCCCTCTCTAGAGAGGAAGGTCTCGAGGTTCCGTCCCAAGGTGTTGGGAACTTGCTTGTGGAGGAGTTGCACAAGGGTGCCCTCTGTCCCAGGTCTAGAGTGGCAGGCAGAGAGGGAGACATGCATCTGTGCTGCTGGAGAACTGAGCTGGCCTGAAGGCATGGGAAGTGGCAGGCCATCTCCTTGACTCAGCCCTCACTTGTCCCCGATGTTTACCTTTCTCCTGATGGCTTAAAGGCTCCCATGTTCCCTGTTCCAGGTTGTGGGCAGAATCCTACTCGACAGGCCAGTGTGGGGGCAGGGATCCCCTACTCGGTTCCAGCATGGAGCTGCCAGATGATCTGTGGCTCAGGCCTCAAAGCCGTGTGCCTTGCAGCCCAGTCCATAGCCATAGGCGACTCCAGCATTGTGGTTGCAGGAGGCATGGAGAACATGAGCAAGGTAAGTGCCGAGGTGCCCATCCTCCTCCTCCTCAGCCACGGTGCATGTCCTGCTGAGGAGCACAGAAAGCCACTCAGCCT